CTCAGGTATTCCTTAAAGAGGTGGGGTTTCAAATGTCTCCGGAAGGTGGTGAGTGACTCCGCTGTCCTGGCGTCGTGAGGGAGCTTGTTCCACCATTGGGGTGCCAGAGCAGCGAACAGTTTTGACTGGGCTGAGCGGGAACTATGCTTCCGCAGAGGAAGGGGAGCCAGCAGGCCAGAGGTGGATGAACGCAATGCCCTCGTTTGGGTGTAGGGACTGATCAGAGCCTGAAGGTACAGAGGTGCCGTTCCCCTCACAGCTCCATAGGCAAGCCCATGGTCTTGTAACAGATGCGAGCTTCAACTGGAAGCCAGTGGAGTGTGCGGAGGAGCGGGGTGACGTGAGAGAACTTGGGAAGGTTGAACACCAGACGGGCTGCGGCATTCTGGATGAGTTGTAGGGATTTAATGGCACAGGCAGGGAGGCCAGCCAACAGCGAGTTGCAGTAATCCAGACGGGAGATGACAAGTGCCTGGATTAGGACCTGTGCCGCTTCCTGTGTAAGGCAGGGTCGTACTCTCCGAATGTTGTAGAGCATGAAACTGCAGGATCGGGTCACCGCCTTGATGTTAGCGGAGAACGACAGGGTGTTGTCCAGGGGTCACCCAAGGCTCTTCGCACTCTGGGAGGAGGACACAACGGAGTTGTCAACCGTGATGGCGAGATCATGGAACGGGCAGTCCTTCCCCGGGAGGAAGAGCAGCTCCGTCTTGCCAAGGTTCAGCTTGAGGTGGTGATCCGTCATCCATACTGATATGTCTGCCAGACATGCAGAGATGCGATTCGCCACCTGGTTATCAGAAGATCTAGACATACTAGACTATAAACATCGATCTATACCACATAGAAAATCACACCCTGACTCAACAAATAAGAGTCCCCAGAGTCAGGGCGTGACAGTACGGAGACACTCACCACTGGTCTGGTGCGAGGAGCAGGCACGGGCAGAACCGGACTAGGAACATGCACCACTGGCTTGGTGCGAGGAGCAGGAACAGGCCGGGCCGGGCACCACTGGCTTGATGCGAGGAGCAGGTACAGGCTGGACCGGGCTGGCGACGCGCACCACTGGCTTGGTGCGAGGAGCAGGAACGGGTCGGGCCGGGCTGGCGACGCGCACCACTGGCTTAGTGCGGGGAGCAGGAACGGGCCGGACCGGACTGGCGACACGCACCACTTGCTTGGTGCGAGGAGCGGGACTGGGTTCCTTTATTAACCCCCGCTCCTTCTGCTGCCTAACCAGCTCCTCTCGCCGTGCCTCTACACTTTCCTACTCCCTTTTAGCCTCCTGTAGCGCCTCCCTCTGACCGAATAACTCCTGCTCCCTCTGAACCAATAGCCCCCGTAACATGGTGGCCTCCTCTCCTAACCTGCAGATTCGGCCTTCCACGGCCTCCTGCTGCCTCGTCATCCACCCCGTCGGCACTCCTCTTCCCGTGAGGACTCCTCCGGGAGCCCCCACGAGTTAGGGAACAGAAACTCGTCGTCGTCGTCAATCTCCGACTCCTCAGGATAATACTGTTCCCACTCCTCTTCCCATGGTCGTAGGGACCCAATCTGAAAACCAACCGGGTGCAGTGGTCGGGGCTCTTCTCTCTCGCTCCCCGACCATCCCTTTAGCCCTCCCCAAAAAATTTGGGGCTGCTTCTCGGGCCTCCTCCTCGGCCGGCTTCCGTGTTGCCGTTGCTCCTCTCCTGCCTGGGCTTCCTTCTTCGCCCAGGGTCCTTTTCCCGAAAATATCTCCTCCCATGACCACCAATTGCCCACCTGTGACATGGCTACTCTCTCCGCCTGGGCACGCTGCTTGGTCCTCGTTTGGTGGGATCTTCTGTCGCGTTCGTTCATAGACGGGTCAGACCAAGGCGCAGCGTGATATGCATACATGTTTATTTGAAACGAATAAACAACGACAAAACAACAAACTAAACGAAACGTGAAGTCCAAGGTACACAAACAACATACCTCACACGGAACAAGATCCCACCACTCAATAGTGCCAATAGGCTGCCTAAGTATTGTCCCCAATCAGAGACAACGAGCGACAGCTGCCTCTGATTGGGAACCACACCGGCCAACATAGATCTAGACATACTAGACTATAAACATCAATCTATACCACATAGAAAATCACACCCTGACTCAACAAATAAGAGTCCCCAGAGTCAGGGCGTGACACTACCATTAAAATTATAGACTGATCATGTCTTTGTCAGTGGGCAAACGTACAAAATCAGCAGGGGATCAAATACTTTTTTCCCTCACTGTATGCATGCACCACTTTTCCGTTATTTATTTATTTATTTATTAGAATTCTTTGAAACAAGTTATTTTTTTTCACTTCACCAATTTGGACTATTTTGTGTATGTCCATTACATGAAATCCAAATAAAAATCCATTTAAATTACAGGTTGTAATGCAACAAAATAGGAAGAACGCCAAGGGGGATGAATACTTTTGCTAGGCAGGGGAATATGGTGCTATTTTGGACGCAGGAAATATCAGTGGATATTGTGATGTAGAGAGGAGCAATCAATTACTGCTACAGTAAATGCACCTTGATTGAGTTTATTCAAGCACATAGAAATATTGATTTCTAGGAATTTCCGTAGATTTTAGTGACATGATTTTCCCCACCACTGTTCTATAGCTAAGAGTAGTACATGATGTATCTGATCTCATAACAGGGGCGTTAGCTGTTGTTTCACTCATCTTACTCTGAGACATTCTCCTGTGTGTGGTGCACTGATAGTTACAGATACTCCTCAGGCAACCCTGGTGTTATCCTCTCTTCCTTATGTATTTATTCTAAGAGATATCCAACATCCAACCAGCCTCTCAACCCTCTGGAGAGGGCCACGCTCCCCCTCCCCCCAGGGAACCAAAAAGGCTGCAAATAAACATCTGTTATTCAAATTGATGCATTCACACTAAGGAATCACACAAGCTTATGAAGTGAGAGGGAAATGGAGAAGGGGGTGAATCGAACGGGAGGGAGTTGGGAGTTAGCAACCTCTCACAAAACAATTATATGCAGTTGACAAAAAAACAGGAATTTGCGCCGGGCGTTCGTCTGCATTTTAATTGAACAACTGTTGGGTCTGAGGTAAATGTTTTGTTGAGAGGTAGAGCAGGAGCGCTCAAAACAGATACAGTAGAAGATTATCTAGCTAGGGTTGAGTTATAAGACAACGTTTTCTTAGAGTCCCTCATAGTACTGTCACCTATGATGTCTTTTTAGGATCTAAGGATAGTCATCTACCGGTAGTCGCCTTTAAGGGAATTTATCTCTGTTTGCTTGCTTGTGTGTGGCATATTGAGCCACACACTGACTGTATTCATGTATTAGATATGCTAAAGATCTATCCCATACTGTTCCTTTACTAGAATGTCATGGTGGGAAACCAGAAGGTCCCAGGACACAAAACAAAACCCCATCTGTAATCTAATCCGGGATCACTGAGAGAAACGTGCTCATCCTTCAACAAAACAGAGTGTCTTCCATATGAACTTTGGTGTCACGTCGATACGGCCTGCATCGGAAAAGGCATAAAAGAGAAACATTAGACGAAATTGGCCCGTTCCACACGCGGCATATTTCAGTTAATTTGTCCCATTAACAGGCTGTATGGATACATAATGCTATTCTCAGGGCAGTGCTGGGAGCTGGAGCCTGCATCGACTGCAGTTCATTTATAGAGGAAAATCTATAGTGAAGCAGCGACACGTATCCATCTGCATTCTCTCTGTCTCACCCCCCAGAGAGGGTAATTTGTGGATTTATTTAAGCTGTGGTTAGGTTAGCCCATTATTATGTCTTATTGTTGTTGCATTGTCGAGAAGGAACCTGCAGGTAAGTATATAGTTAGACAGTGTATACCATGTGGATCCTGTACATATGACTAATAAAACTTGAAAGTAGGCCTTGGTTCACACTGTATTACTGTGGTGAACCCTGAGCCATTTCACACACCTCAAGCCTACTAACTAACCTATCCCTAACCGAGAACTACTCAACTCTTCACATTTTCTTGGCAACTACCGGTAAGAACATTTAGCATTGGAGGAAGTACAGAACATAACAGTACAGAACAGAGCAGAATGGAGCAGAACAGAGCAAAGCAGAACAGAACCGTACGAGGCCCTCACCATACATGTTTACTAACAGAACCAGGGTCCAAGCTGACATTACCACACTAGTCAGGAAGTGTAAAAGGTTGAATTACTTGACTGTTCCATGCTCCTAGTTTAACCTGTATTAGCAACCAGACAGTCAGTCAGGAAAAGGAAATCAGGTTGAGGGATAGAATGCCACTGGAACAATAACAGTAGTTCACACAGACGGTGTTTCTCTCTCTGGCTTCTCCATCTCCCTGGGTGCTGGGGCTGTGGAGCGAAGGGGCGGGGAACGAGGTGTGTGTTTTCAGGTGTGACGCTCTCAGCGGGACCTATACCCGTATCCTCTGCAGACTTCTTTTTGGCTCCTAATAATAACTTGAAATTGCAAGAGTCTCGAGCATGGCTCCTTTCCTCTTAATTAGCCTTTTGCGGGAATCAAGCTAATTGCAGAGAGTTAATTGGGTTCATATACACACATATACACACACACACACACACACACACACACACACACACACACACACACACACATTGTACCTCCTTACCTGGGTTTCATGGTTCTTGTCACTTTGATTTCCACATGAATTAAATTCAGCCTTAATTAGCTGGTTTTCCTTTTCATATTAATCATCTCAGTTTCGTAGAGGAGGATCTGATGACACAGTTCTCAGGTTAAAAGTAAAATGGAGGCTTCACGTACAGTCAATGGATGTAATGTGGAATTAGAAGTGGCATTTACAGGAATGTAACAAGACGTCCCCTTTCCTTGGGTCCAGGTGTGTTGACAGAAGAGGAGGGAAACAGACAAAGAAACTGCCCTTCCTGTCACTAAAGTCTTGAAGAAAAACGTTGTGTTGTTTTTTGATGTGTGTGGTGGTGGTAGGACTAACCTAGAGGAGGAGCTGGATGTGTTGCGGGTCCAGGCTGCTATGGACCGGGCCACTGTACAGGAGCTGAGGATGTGTCTTCAGAACGAACAACAAGGTGAGCCTTGTCACTTACACACCATAGAGTTGGAAACAAAGCCCACCCAATGTTTGCTCAGGATTATAATCCATTGGCTGATCCGGGTGGAATTCTGTGATCCCGTCGTTATAACATTAGAAGTCCCATCCAGGGAAATGATGAAAGCATTCAATTGTGCTGTCCATGCTAAAAAAATGGCTTTGTGGCAAGTGTGCCCTATATCCAACTCTATGGTCCACACTCTAGAGTCTAAAGGCTGACTGACCGATCAGAACCCAATCAAGCTCTATTGCCCCATTTCCCCTTGTCTGAAAGAATTTGTCCTCCATTGGTTTTAATTCTCAAGCATACTGTAGGTATCAAGCAACACCCCTGGATATTGCCTCCAGGCTGAACAAGTCAGAGGAAGCACTGAATAAGTAGTGGGTTTAAAAGCTCATGTTCTATAATAGTTATGACTGAAAACACGATAGTACTTATACAATCTCTCTACATGTAATGTGTATCGAAATATCAAATTACTTGATTCTTGCTATGTAACTACTGTAAAGAATAAAAAAATAAAAGCCATGTACTGTTGAAGTCGGAAGTTTACATACACCTTAGCCAAATGCATTTAAACTCAGTTTTTCACAATTCCTGACATTTAATCCTAGTAAAAATTCCCTGTCTTAGGTCAGTTAGGATGACCACTTTATTTTAAGAATGTGAAATGTCAGAATAATAGTAGAGAGAATGATTTATTTCAGCTTTTATTTCTTTCATCACATTCCCAGTGGGTCAGAAGTTTACATACACACAATTAGTATTTGGTTGCATTGCCTTTAAATTGTTTAACTTGGGTCAAACGTTTCGGCTAGCCTTCCACAAGCTTCCCATAATAGGTTGGGTGCATTTTGTCCCATTCCTCCTGACAGAGCTGGTGTAACTGAGTCAGGTTTGTAGGCCTCCTTGCTCGCACACGCTTTTTCAGTTCTGCCCACACATTTTCTATAGGATTGAGGTCAGGGCTTTGTGATGGCCACTCCAGTACCTTGACTTTGTTGTCCTTAATCCAAACTTTGGAAGTATGCTTCCCAAGGCCTCCCGAGTGGCGCAGTCGTCTAAGGCACTGCATCGCAGTGCTAGCTGTGCCACTAGAGATCCTGATTCGAATCCAGGCTCTGTCGTAGCCGACCGGGAGACCCATGGGGCGGCGCACAATTGGCCCAGCGTCGTCCAGGGTAGGGGAGGGAATGGCCGGCAGGGATGTAGCTCAGTTGGTAGAGCATGGTGTTTGCAACGCCAGGGTTGTGGTTCGTTCCCACGGGGGGCCGGTATGAAAAAAATAAAGAATAATGTATGCACTAACTGTAAGTCGCTCTGGATAAGAGCGTCTGCTAAATGACTAAAATGTAAATGTAAATGCTTGGGGTCATTGTCCATTTGGAAGACCCATTTGCCTCCAAGCTTTAACTTCCTGACTGATGTCTTGAGATGTTGCTTCAATATATCCACATAATTTTCCTTCCTCATGATGCAATCTATTTTGTGAAGTGCACCAGTCCCTCCTGCAGCAAAGCACCGCCACAGCATGATGCTGCCACCCCTGTGCTTCACGGTTGGGATGTTGTTCTTCGGCTTGCAAGCAACCCCCTTTTTCCTCCAAACAACAATGGTCATTATGGCCAAACAGTTCTATGTTTGTTTCATCAGACCAGAGGACATTTCTCCAAACAGTACAATCTTTGTCCCCATGTGCAGTTGCAAACCGTAGTCTGGCATTTTTATGGCGGTTTTGGAGCAGTGGCTTCTTCCTTGCTGAGCGGCCTTTCAGGTTTTGTCGATATAGGACTCGTTTTACTGTGGATATAGATACTTTTGTACCGGTTTCCTCCAGCATCTTCACAAGGTCCTTTGCTGTTGTTCTGGGATTGATTTGCACTTTTCGCACCAAAGTACGTTCATCTCTAGGAGACAGAACGCGTCTCCTTCCTGAGCGGTATGACGGCTACGTGGTCCCATGGTGTTTATACTTGCGTACCATTGTTTGTACAGATGAAAGTGGTACCTTCAGGCGTTTGGAAATTGCTCCCAAGGATGAACCAGACTTGTGGAGGTCTACAATTTTCTTTCTGAGGTCTTGGCTGATTTCTTTTGATTTTCCCATGATGTCAAGCAAAGAGGCACTGAGTTTGAAGGTACGCCTTGAAATACATCCATAGGTACACCTCCAATTGACTCAAATGATGTCAATTAGCCTATCAGAAGCTTCTAAAGCCATGACATCATTTTCTGGAATTTTCCAAGCTGTTTAAAGGCACAGTCAACTTAGTGTATGTAAACTTCTGGCCCACTGGAATTGTGATACAGTGAATTATAAGTGAAATAATCTATCTGTAAACAATTGTTGGAAAAATTACTTGTGTCATGCACAAGGTAGATGTCCTAACCGACTTGCCAAAACTATAGTTTGTTAACAAGAAATTTGTGGAGTGGTTGAAAAACACAAAGTGTATGTAAACTTCCGACTTCAACTGTATGTAAAATGTGTGTAGAATGTACATGTAACAACAAAGGAAAAAGCTGTAAAAAACAACGTTTATCTTTGTCTTCCGAAGAGGGTGGATGCCCCCTCCCCCCAAAAAAATAAATTAAAAAAGAATACACTGAATAACGGCACATATGTTGTTTTAACATACGTATGTCGAACATCTGTTGAACGGTAGTGTTCTGACGTGCTTGTAATGTTGTACTTCCTGGCTTTTTTTTGTTTGTTTGAACACCACATCTTCAGTGGAATTAACAGGACAATTCAATAAAAACCTGAACAACCTGTTCTAAATTGACTGGGATATCAAAAAGAATGCATCTTCTTTGCATAGTGCATACCTCCCCTCCTAATCGTAGAACGTGCATCACTTTGTCTGTGTCCCAAATGGCACCCTATTCCCTACATAGTGCACTACCTTTTACCATAGTCCTATGTGCTGGTCAAAGGTAGTGCACTATATAGGGAATAGGGTGCCATTTGGGACCCAGCGCTTTTACTCCAATCTGCATCCCTTTGTCAAATACTGAATAACCTACTACAGTGGCCCTTTTAATTAACGAGTTCAATAACCAATCTGTTCTCCATCACTTTAATTTACCTGATGATTAATGATGGTGTCTGTCGGCCAAATGCGAAACCAGGGCTACAAAGGATGCCACTAATTAAGATGGCGCATCCCATTGACAATCAATGGCATAATCAGAAAAGCTGAGAGATAGACCGGCTTTGAAAGTAATGGTTTAACATTGTATCCTGTCTGTCACCCAATCAACCAAATTAGAGACCTATAATCTCTACACAGCACCACCTGAGTGAAAGCACAGCTGCAGCCACAGAATGTTTATGATTATACTACTACCTTTCACTTCATAATAACGTAAAGGCCCAATCCCTATTTTGAAAACTGTCTATAAATATCACGGTTAGGCCCTTTAAGTTAAACCCAAGGATACATGATTGATTGTGACAAAAGTGATTATGTAATTGATTGACATTCAAGATATAAATTGAAATTGCTAACCGTTTTTGACAACTCTGAGGCCTGCTCATCATATACCAACACTGTAGCGGCTCAAATCAGGCCCTGGCAACACATTTACATTTACATTTTAGTCATTTAGCAGACGCTCTTATCCAGAGCGACTTACAGTTAGTGAATACATATTTTTTTTATACTGGCCCCCCGTGGGAATCGAACCCACAACCCTGGCGTTGCAAACGCCATGCTCTATCAACTGAGCTACATCCCTGCCGGCCATTCTCTCCCCTACCCTGGACGACGCTGGGCCAATTGTGCGCCGCCCATGAGTCTCCCAGAGATCCATAGAACACGTTTTACGAGCGGCCCCGGAATTAACTCTTGCGGAACCCCTCTGACCCGATCAAAGGGAGAGAGGTTCAAGCAGCAACCCAACCCAACCCTATCACAATCCCGTTAAAGAAAGCCAACAGATGAAAGACAACGCTCCGTGGCGGAGACCTTTGTGGCTCGGCCCGTAAGGGGCGGGAGAGGGAGGAGCAGAGGAGGAGGTGATGCGGGTGGGGGGGCGGGGGGGTTGAGAAGACGTTAGAGCCTTTAGACGTTAATGAATGCTGTAGCATTGGGACCTCCTCCAATGCAAAGTGACTAGAGAGCCACCGACTCCCTCCATATCAAGGTACTAGTGCCGAGGTGCCAACTCCCCAGCCACCCACCCCCCAGCCCGGGCCGTCGCTGCTACGAGCGGGATAATTGTCTCCCTATCTGGTTATGTACACGGCGCGGCACGGCAGCCCTCGCTAATTATTTGGGCTCTGGTCTGATTGGATGTGACAAGCCAGGGGAGACAAAAGAGATGGCTAATTCAAAGTAACAAACTTCCTTTTCCCCTCCTCGGCCATGCACAGGAGAAGGAGGGAGGAGCACAGTGCTTCAGAGCGAAGAGCTGATCCACCTCTTTCTCTCTCTCGCTCTCACTCTGTCGCTCCCTCTCTCTCTCTCTTTCTCTCTCCTTCTCCTGCATCTCACGGCAAAAGGTCAACTGACCTGAAAAGTCGAGTGCCTGAATATTTCACATTTTCAACCTCATCTGACAAATGAGTTTCCTTGTACCACCATGAAAGTTTAACCAGAAGGAGCGAAGGAAAAGTTTTGTCTTCGTTATTATTTAGCCTCAACCTTTTTATTTACATTTTTGGGGTCAAAAAAGAGGGTAGTTCGCACACAAAATAGACAAACTCCTATTCCTTTTGTGATTTTTAAATGTAGATTATTTTTGCTTGTAGCAGCAGGGGAATCAGTCTTCACCGGTGAATGTTAAAGATATATTAATAATGACTTGTTGAACTGCTCCTAATAAAGGAAGATTTTATTCGTTGGAGAGGAGTTATTCTACCGGGGGTGGATGCATGGTGGGCTACAAAGCAAGCAGGGCAGCCAGGGTTTGTGCGTTCACAGGGGAGTTGAACATTTCTCTACGTTTGTTTAAGATCTCCAGGGGTGGGGGTTGAGTTTTCACCAATGTCTGCTTTTGATTGAACATAAAATATAAGGCCTTTATTATTAGTAGTGGTTGATAAAGTCCTATGGTTTTAGAATGGAAATGGATATTCTAGGGTAGATGTATTCATTCTTATCCCATAATATGACAAATCACTGTCTTCAAATGCTCTTTGCGTTGTCATTTCATAATGGTTTTATATGTCTGAGTAATTGCCAAAGTGATATAATTTAGGGCCCTCTTGTCTTGAACTTAAACGGAAGATTTAAGTTCAGACACTGGCAAGTCATGTGTTTCTTCCTGACACTATTTTCAGAAAAGAACAAGTAGCCTACAAGAATAGGCTTACGACGTGAAAAGAAATCAATTAGACATAATTAATCAAACTTGATTTAATAATATAAAATTTGGCTGGCTGAAAGGAAGCAGACACTTGTCTTTTCTTCGTGTCACAATAACATGCTTTGTTCTCGTCGGCAGAGCTTCTTCACAAAGTGGCAGCCGAGCCGGAGGTCAAGAGTAGCACTCCCAAAAAGCCCTCTGCCGAGAGAGTGGAGCAGTCGCTGAAGAAGGTACAGTAAACTGCTCTTTGTCACCGCCAATAAAAGAAACCGGCAAGACAAAAGTCTTCTTCACCACAATACCTGGAACTGAAGTTATTTCTGTAACACTGAAGTGGGGAGAGAAATACCGTCTTGGCTCTTGGAAGTTTTATTTGGATGTTTTGTCGTTGAGCAGACATTTTTCTGGTCAAAATAACAACTAGAAAAACATATTTGAAAAGGATTCAATGTCTGTTGTTGGTTGCAAAGGCTTTCTTCTGAGAAGTACTAAACAACCACAAACAATGCCTTTCTAAATGACTTCTTCCCAGGCCCCATCACTCACTGTGAGTGTGATAATCCTCCACAATGACGTTGGATGAAGTGCCATCCAGGGGATGTTAAGAGGGGATGTAAGAGCGTGCTAATACGCCCATAATAGTCATGCAGTGGTATGTTGAAGAGGTTTGAGAGGGACACAGGGAACTATTTTAACGGGGAATTAAATTGTTCCAGAATCATTTATAGCAGATGATGCCAAGGCGGCAAGAGCCAACAAATGCCATATGGCGGTTTAATGGAGACTGTCATGGCATCTATTACTGTCTGACAGTACCATGTTAGTGTAATAACCAACAGGGGTCAGGGGAGGAGGGGAAGAGTGGAGCAGCATTCATTTATGCTCTCCGGAAATGGTGGGTAATGGAAATACATTTTGGGAAGGCCCGGTAAGGAGAAAGTATGTGTGAGCGTGTGCGTGAAATTTTACATGTCTTCCCATCTCACAGCAAGTCGATGATCAGGCGGACCAGAAAGCCATCCTAATTTTGTTTGAATGGTACCGTGCTGCTTAAGCAGAGGGCAGAGCCCAGCACAATAAAAGGGAGAGATTGCCTGGGGGTATAACTATACCCAGCAGGCATCCACTGTTCTGTTTAACCGTCTCCACCCAAGATCCAACAAAGAGACAAAGTGGTCCTGTTTCGTGTTTAGTGATGGGTCGGGGGGTTAGCAGTCATGTCCGTAGCCTCTCTGGATGGGAGGGGGGGGGGGGGTAGGGGGCTCTCTCACCCCCCAAAAAAGAGGCACAGACAGAATGGGAGTGTTTACATTTTAGTAATTTAGCAGATGCTCTTATCCAGAGCTTACAGGAGCAATTAGGGTTAAGTGCCTTGCTCAAGGGCACATCGACAGATTTTTCACCTAGTCAGCTCGGGGATTCGACCCAGCGACCTTACTTAACCACTAGGCTACCTACCGCCGTGTTAATGGTCTAATGGTTTGTTTCAACCCTCTACTGCCCTGGCCTGCATAGTTAATGTGAACAGGCCAGGGCAGTAGAGAGAAACACAGACACTACCCTGTTTTTGCAGTTCAAAGTGGACAGGATTTTTCTTGTTCGTAGCTTGTTTTAAGACATTTACAGATTAACTCAGTGAATATGATATCCATTAACTCTACATGGCAGAGGACATAGAGTTGCATGACTGTGAGATTAGGTTTGGTCCTAATGAACACTCAATGATCACCATATAGATAGAACAGTTGGAGAGGAGGACGGTGTCCATGGAGCAGGAGACCGAGAGGCTGAGGGAGGACAACCAGGACCTCCAGGAGGCCAACACAGCTCTAACCCAGGACAACGAGCACCTCCAGGCCTCCCTGGCCCACCTCCGCACCCAAGGGGCTGCCCGCGATGAGGCGGCTCATGCCCAGGCACTCGCCCAGGGAGAGAGACACCGTGCCGAGGCCCTGGCCCTGGAGATCCAGCTGGAGGGGGCCAGGAAGGAAGCCGGACGCACCCGGCAGCAGCTGCTCCGGCTCAGGCAGGAGCTGGGCATCCTGAGGGCGGCCAGGGACTTCAACAGGAGCCAGAGAGGACCCAAGGCTAACATGCTAACAGGGCTAGCTGCAGCAGCCACAGCAGGAGGAGGAATAAGTGGAGGGGCATTAGCAAACAACAAGGTCAAATTCAAAACAGGCAGAGGCCCAGCGCGGCTGCACCGCCACCGAGCGGTCGGCCCCAATCAAGCCATCGGAGGAGGAGGAGGAGGAGGAGGAGGCCGCAGCCCTGCTAGGGACGACTGGGAGGACATGAGTGCGGACAGGTACGACACACACACTTTCTCTCTCTCTCTCTCTCTCTCTCTCTCTCTCTCTCTCTCTCTCTCTCTCTCTCTCTCTCTCTCTCTCTCTCTCTCACCCCCTCATTATTTTTTAGGAGGGGGTGGGGGGGTTTAGCGGCATCGAGGGGACACCGTGCATATGCAAAGCGTAAGCAAATGGGTGATTGAATTTTCAGCGCCTGTCTAGTTGGTATTCAAGAGCCAAAGGAAGAAGATGGCGAGAAAAAAAAAAAAAAAAAACTACTGTCAGATCCTTTGAAATATCCTGGGACGTCTTGCTCGGAGCTTATTGACTGAAATTTGCATGCAAAATTAGCCACCTCTGCACACAGAGTTGAACTGGTGCCAAGAAAGCCCGACACTTGATATGATAAGGGCCCGACACTTGATATCTTCCAGTGATGCAGTCATGAGGCCTGGAAATTGACAGTTTGGCAGCTTGATTTAATTTACCGGTCCTTTGCATATTCACCCCCCTCTTGACAGCAACCAAGGCATTCCCAGGCATAGGTTCCCCCCCACCACCCCAACCCCAGTCAGTTCCGTTATCTTGTGACATGTCGATTCAGGATGTGCGCAACCATTTTTTTTCTCCCTCCCTCCCCACACGAACCCCCTCTCATTCCTCTCCTCGCCTTAATTTAGTTGGATACATTTTGAATGACCCTCCTCGGCTCGCTACCAGATGTCTACAAGCTGTTTAACACTCTCCAAATTAAGAACCATCTACAGTAATTATTTCATGTATGTTTTATGCTAAAAAGCCACTGAGCTAACGTTTATTGAGTGATGGTTGGGATGATTTGATTTCAAACACCGGCTACCCACACCGCTGGCTGATGTTTATTTCTCACCAAGACTCTCTTCCCCCCTCCAGCAGTAGCCTAGCTACACTTCACACACACACACACACACACACACACACACACACACACACACACACACTCACCTCACCTCTCCCATGACTAATTCATCTCACTGAAATCTTATCCAGGGTCTATTGGTTACTCACATGGGGATGTTGAAACCTAACAGTGGCTGTATAAACCTATGGCGTGCTTCTCCCTTGTCCCTAATGTGTCTAATAAGCAGCTGTAAGATACCGTTTTAACCTAAAAGGGGGACTTAGGAGGATTTAGGAAAGTGTGTCTTAAATGAAGATGTCTTAGTTAAGTTACCTGTCAGTTTAGGTGTAGTGCTGTAAAGCCTTCTGTCTCTCATGTCTCAATGTTATTATGCCTATAGGTGCTTGGGAAAATGTCAAGGTTTTTCATCCTGCCGAGAATTTGTTAAATACCAACAAAATGAAGACATCAGACTCGTTAAAGAAGTGACTGACAAGCGCCTTCCTCCGTCTTGGTTTTTAACTGTTCTTCTCAATGCCTCTGGCTCTCGTTGTGGTTAGACAGTTTCAGGAAGAAGTACCTTAAGGCTGGCGGCCATTTTACATTTTCACCACATCAGCAGTTTGTTTGGAGAGTAGAGCAGGGATGAGGCAGGGGGCTCCGGGAGAGTACTGTAGGGGCTAGCAGGAGGTCTCTGGTATACAATATATAATACGCCTCCGCAGTCCGCACTGCTGCAAGACACCAGCACACACACACACACACACACACACACACACACACACACACACACACCTGTCTCCCGAAGCAAGGCAGCCATGACACGACCAGCACACTGTCCTGTCCACTCAGCACATCTGAGACTGATGGAATAGTAGAAGTGCCCTAAACAGGGGGAACGCCTGCCACAGGGTGTGAGATACAGTGATACAGCTCACTCCCTGACAAGGTGATCACCCCCGCCCTGGCTGAGTGAGTGGTTCAGCCCAAAGGCAGTGAGCAGGCAGGTAAAGACAGGCTGTCTGAAGTACCTGTCAATTACAACAGCATATCATGCAAATACAGTCTATTCAATACATCCAGCGTACTGTTATAGTGAAGACTTGACTTGTATCCACAGGGTTGGTTTGTATTGAAATAGTTCTTTATTCCCCTTACTTTGGTATCGTGTATTGTAGGCTAAATGCCTCTCTGGTGCAGGTGTGTGGTATACTGGAATGCTCAGTACTCGGCACAGTCTGTCAGTAGGCCAGTCTTGGGCCTTAGTGGCTGGGTCTAGTCCTTTCTCCCTCCAGCCTCCAGCCTCCATCCCCAGCCTCCGCCCCCCAGCCCTGGGGCCTTTTGGTCTGTCATGTCGGAAGGCTGATGGTGATGTGGAGCTCTTTACCTCTGCTGCTCTCACCGCCCCACGTTAATAAACCCACAGCGTAAATGTCACTGACTTCCACGTCAAAGGTCACTGTCGATAACTGGGGGGAATGGGGTAGGGAGTGGAGGTGTGTGTGTGCCCGTGCCAGTGTGTGTGTGTGTGTGTGTGTGTCTCCGAAACCTTTATCGCACGTCCGTCCATCAGATGGGCTCGTCTCGTCGTCGCTCAGCCATGCCACTCACACACGTCTGTCACACAGAAAGCACTAATGAAGGCCACAGCAGTCTTCATACATGTTGATACACACCGTAGCACAACTGATGAGGTGGAATTCATTCAGGTCATTTCCAGGAATTCAGGAAATAAATTCAGGAATTAAATTGCACATGGAATGAGATGGAAAAAACAATACTCTGCTTGATGGTAAATGGAACATTGGATATATAAATTGTTATTGAACTTCCATACATGCAAAATTCAAATATTACTGTGTTAATACATATTCACATTCTTTATTTTTCTCTCTTGCCCCTCTCTCTCTCTCTCTGTCTCTCTCTCTCTGTCTCTCTCTCTCTGTCTGTCTCTGTCTCTCTCTCTCTCTCTCTCTGTCTCTCTCTTTCTGTCTCTCTCTTTCTGTCTCTCTTTCTCTCTGTCTCGCTCTGTCTCTCTCTGTCTCTGTCTCTCTCGCTCTCTCTCTCTCTCTCTCTCTCTCTCTCTCTCTCTCGTGACAGTGGAGAGGAGTACTGTGACAGCCTGGACAGTCACCCAGTCAAGGTGGGTCCATTTGGAGCAGTCCATCTATTCTTCCATTCACTATAACCTCCATTCAACCAACTAACAGGTCTTTACACATAATGTGTAATTGGAGTAGTTAATTGAATAGTTGTTTGTAATGGGTGAGTCAGTCAGGATGTTATTAACCTGGGTTTGGCCAAGCCGTGTCTGGCCTATATTACACAGTGCTCTACATGGCTTTAGGCTCTGCCTCCTGTGTTCCAACAAGTTGTGGCTTCTTCCTTCCTCCATCAATAGTCCAGGTTTCTCTGTCCTTGTTTTTGTCTATTGTCAACTCCTTCACTGTAATACCTGGCAGCTATTCACCAAAGAGAGAGAGACACTTCTCTAGAAATGGGTGGATTTGGGTGTTCTCTAGGCTCTTCTATCTGTCAAGACCCCAGTGTCTCTCCAATCCCTCATGCAGCCCCTCCTCCACTCCGCATGCCCCTCCGTTCGCCCTGCCAATCAGCTCCGCCCAGCTTCATCGCCATGACAGTGGAGCCACGCGCGCTGTGTCACAAACCAAAGGGCTTCCGGAAGGCTCCATGTGATCAAACCAGCCCGTGATTAAACCCTACCGGTGCTCCGGGGGGGAAGGGCTTTGATGTGACTACAAACGCTCTCGGGCGGTGTCACACACACACATACACACACACACACCGTGGCGCACAGGGGCAAGGGGGTGAGTGAGCACGGGGGTGTTTCAACTGGCACCTGTCAAGAGAGTTGCGGCGGTGTAGAGTTGCGTTCGAGTCGACGTGTGTTGTATTAAACACGTTGCGCCGCATTACTGCGCGGTGTGATTTGTCGCGTCGCATTAAACGCCACATGCTGTGATTCCTGCGTGACACGACACGCCGCGTTCAAGACTCCCTCAGTCTGTTGCGGATGTCAACCTGTTGTGTTGCATTAAAAGGCAGGGTTTAAAAGCGTTGCAAAACGTTTTTGTTTGTCTTTTTCCAGTCACACAGGTACGGAGCCACCTCAGAACAGCCAGCGGAAGAATTCTCCAGAACGCAGCCCGATGTTCCGAACCAAGGTAGCAACAACATGGTTTCATGTTTCACTCAGATTTTCACTAAACTTCAACTATTTAGGGGGGGGGGGGGGAACCACCAAAACACACACTATTGGAAACGGCACTTGATACAAAACAAGTTTCTGTTATCTACGCTGTTGTATCGGTTATATATGGAATGGCTTAGTCAGTCTGGTAATAGAATATCTCACACACACACATACACACATTTGATAACTCTCAGCAGCAGAAATCTAAATGGGGATTGTGAGTGTGTTCACCGCTGTCTCGTACATGAACACTCTGAGGAACGCACTGTGTTCTCCCCTTGTTAGGAAATAAACAGAGGGAGCCGGGGGAGGAAGGAGGGCTGAGATGGAGTGAGAGAAAGAGGAGGAAGGCCCAGAGGTGCGGCTGCTGCGCCCCCTCCTCTCTGCGCGGGCGCGTTCTGGCGCTCCAGCGCCACCTCGCCGTTCTACAGACCGCCCGGCGTGATGCCCAGCGCTCCGCCCGGGAGCTGCGAGACGCCAACGAGAAGATCACTTCGCAGCTCAACCAGAGACTGAACGTCAGCAAGCAGTTATCACAGGTACCACAGACCAGAGGAGAGGATATACAAAGGGGACAGAAAGAGTGGAAGGAACAGAAGAGAAGGAGGGGAAGAATGGAAAGATAAGGAGGGGGGTTGGTACAGTAACTGGGAACAAGGAAGTTGTTCTTTTTCTCTCCTTTTTTTTTCTTCCTGTCTTTTCTTTTGTCTTTCGGTGTGTTTCTGGGGGCCCTATCCCTGGCTGCAGTGGTAGCAGCTCCTTTGCGCTTATCATGCTTAATAAGTGTGTGTCTGACAGGCCTGCCCTCGCCTGAGGAGGTCAGCACCACAGAGGAGCAGAGGAAGAGACACAGAGCACTGAACACACTGCTGCAGTCTCCTGCAATACCCTACTGACTACTATACTATACCCTACTGACTACTATAATATACCCTACTGACTACTATACTATACCCTACTGACTACTATACTATACCTTACTGACTACTATGACTATACCCTATCTGACTACTATAATATACCCTAGCCCTACTGACTACTATACTATAATATACCCACTGACTACATACTATACCCGACTCACTCTATCATATACCCTAACTGGCACACTAAGCCCTACTGACTACAAATACTATCAACCCTACTGACTACTATACTATACCCTACTGACTACTATACTATACCCTACTGGCTACTATACTATACCCTACTGACTACTATACTATACCCTACTGACTACTATACAATACTATACCTTACTGACTACTATACTATACCCTACTGACTACTATACTATAATATACCCTACTGACTACTATACTATACCCTACTCACTACTATACTATACCATACTGACTACTATACTATACCCTACTGACTACTATACTATACCCTACTGACTACTATACTATACTATACCCTACTGACTACTATACTATACTATACCCTACTGACTACTATAATATACTATACCCTACTGACTACTATAACTATACCTACTGACTACTATACTATACCCTACTGACTACTACATATACCCTACTGACTACTATACTATACCCTACTGACTACTACTGATACTATACCCTACTGACTACTTATATACTAACCCTACTGACTACTACTAACTATACTATACCCTACAGACTACTATAATCTACTATACTATACCCTACTGACTACTATACTATACCCTACTGACTACTATACTGTACTATACTATACCCTACTGACTATAACTATACCCTACTGACTACTATACTATACCCTACTGACTACTATATATACCCTATACTGACTACTAAATACCTATGACTATATACTATACCCTACTGACTACTATATACTATACTCTACTGACCTACTACTACTAATACTAACCCTACTGACTACTATACTATACCCTACTGACTACTATACTATACCCTACTGACTACTATACTATACATATACTACACTATACTGAACCTATACATACCCTACTGACTACTATACTATGCTCTACTGACTACTATACTATACCCTACTGACTACTATACTATACCCTACTGACTACTATACTATACCCTACTGACTACTATACTAAACTATACCCTACTGACTACTATACCCTACTGACTACTATACCCTACTGACTACTATACTATACCACTACTACTTGACTACTTACTACTACCTACTGACTACTATAATATACCCTACTGACTACTATACTATACCCTACTGACTACTATAACTATACCCTACTGACTACTATGACTACTATACTATACCCTACTGACTACTATACTATACCCTACTGACTACTATACTATACCCTACTGACTACTAATAACCTATACTATACCCTACTGACTACTATACTATACCCTACTGACTACTATACTATACCCTACTGACTACTATACTATACTACTACTCTATACTGTACTACTATACCTACTGACTACTAACTATGTACTATATCCTCTACTACTATACTATACCCTACTGACTACTATACTATACCCTACTGACTACTATACTATACCCTACTGACTACTATACTATACCCTACTGTACTACTATCCATACTATACCTACTGACCTATACTACTATAACCCTACTGTACTATACTATATATGATACTATATAAATACCACTGACTACTAACTACTGACTTATACTATACCCTACTGACTACTATAATATACCCTACTGACTACTATAATATACTCTACTGACTACTATAACTATACCCTACTGACTACTATACTATACCCTAACTACACTATACTATAACTATACCTACTGACTACTAACCCTACCTAATGACTCTATACTATACCCTACTGACTACTATACTATACCCTACTGACTACTATACTATACCCTACTGACTACTATACTATACCCTACTGACTACTATACTATACCCTACTGACTACTATACTATACCCTACTGACATAACTATACTGTACTATACTATACCCTACTAATGACTACTATACTCTACCTATACAATATATACCCTATGACTACTTACTATACCCTACTGACTACTATACTATTACTATACGATTATACCTACTGACTACTATAATATACCCTACTGCTACTATATATACCTACTACTACTATATAACCCTACTGACTACTATACTATACTGTACTATACCCTACTGACTACTAGACTATATATTATACCATACTGACTACTATACCGTACTGACTATTATACTATACCCTACTGACTACTAGACTATACCCTAATGACTGCTATACTAAACCCTAATGACTACTACACTATACCCTAATGACTACTATACTATACCATATGGACTACTATACTAAACTATACCCTACTGACTACTATACTATGCTCTACTGACTACTATACTATACCCTACTGACTACTATACCCTACATACTACTAGACTATACCCTACTGACTACTATAATATACCCTACTGACTACTATGCTATACCCTACTGACTACTATACTATACCCTACTGACTACTATAATGTACTCTACTGACTACTATAATGTACTCTACTGACTACTATACTATAATGTACTATGCTGACTACTATATTTTACTATACTGTACTGACTCAACCAGCTAGTCTCTGAAACAGTGTCGTAGTGTTATTTCTCAGACTCAATTGCACACCGAATTCAAACATATTTTTTTTGTTCGCTACGTACAGTACTTCATTCTGAGACTGCCATCGTTGAAGTTGTTTGTGGGGACGTCAAAATGAGGGGTGTTGTACAAAACAAAGCCATCAGCCATTGGATCATATCTAACCAATCAGAGTGTCAAAGCCAATGGCACATTTTCAAAACGCCGCTTTACCCACGTGTGTTCTGGCTCTGGCCCAACCTATTGGTTTCTGGGACCAATCAGACGGTTTAAAATGGATTTCCATTCTAGAAATCGCCGGGGAGATACTCAGATACAAACTCATTGCGGAGATGAAACTAACATCCGTGGTCGCGGTGTAGCGTTTGTGTAGCCAGGCAAATTCTTCCATGACTTGGCCTCCTCTCTCGCCCTCTCTCTCTCTCTCTCTCTCTCACGGCCTCACCAGGCCGTATGGTAGTTAGTGGGACTGGCAGGAGGCCCCTGTTGGGCAGGAGCAGGCAGAGCCCCGACCAGCCCCAACCCACTGGAGGCCTGATTAGGAGTGTGTGTGATACACACAGGTCAAAGAGCGCAGGAGCCCCGACGCTCTGGAAGTGGCCTCCGGGTTCCGGCCCCTACCTAGGTACCGTAGAATAGAACAGCCAGGGCCCCGAGGAGACCCCAGACACTGGCTCTGCGGCATTAATGACACACACATACAAATGCACACACACACACCTAGAATCAGAGACACACACACACACTTTCCTCCGCTTGGGCTGACCAGAAAGAAACAGCAATAGCTGTCTTTTACTCCTGCAGTATTAATGCCACTGCAGCAGAAGCCCTCAGCTCAGAGGCAGATGGAAAACAGGGATCATTCCCCCCTAAAAGGGCACAAGGTCCTGTGCTGTTGGCTGGTATCCGGCGGGCCCCTGCCTGCTAGCTCTCTGACTCGGAGTCCAAATCTCTGGCTCTAATTGGCTTAGCCCGGCGCCTCGGGGGCTGTCATGTGAAAAGGTATGATGACAGTGTCAGAGACAGGGAAGTAGAGCTACCTCGTTTGTTTGGCTCCTTAGTGGTGTCCTGTAGTTTCCTGTTACTTCAATGGGAAGTTGTGTTATTTAAATGTGAATCAGGCGTCTGTGTGTTGTGTGTCGTGTGATGAAAGTGTTATAAATGACTAATCAGGTATGTTTAGAGGGTGTTCTAGTTCTGGCGTCCCCAGGCACAGTGGTGTGTTAGTGTGTGTGGCTGCCGGTGACATGAGAGAGAGAGGGAGGGAGGTAGAGAGAGAGGGAGGTAGAGAGAGAGAGAGGGAGGTAGGGAGAGAGGGGGGAGGATGAGGAGGGAGAGAGGGGGTTAGGGAGTAGGGATGAGAGGAGGGGGATTGGAGGTAGGAGGGAGGTTTGGGAGAGGAGGTATTATGGACGAGCGGGAGGGTAGGGAGGTAGGGAGATTAGGGAGGGGGGTAGGTAGGGAGAGAGGGAGGTAGGGAGAGAGGGGGGTAGAAATTGAATTGAGAGAGGGAGATAGAGAGAGGGGTAGATAGAGTGAGGGAGAAGGAGGTAGAGAGAAGGAGGTTGAGAGAAGGGAGGTAGAGAGAGGGGGAGGGAGGTAGAGAGAGAAGTGCTGTACCCTTTCTGTCTCTCAGCCTAAGTGGAACATGTGTCTCTACAGCACAGTGACACTTTCATCAGTCAATCACACCACGCCAGCCACCCCATCCCCACAGACCTCTCTGTCAGGAACCAGACTGCAATAGCTGTCAGAGCCACACACACACAGAGAGAGAGAGACACACACTCACAGAGACACACACACGGCAGAGTGCTTTGTTAGGTATTTCCACCCTGTTCCCTCTCCATAATTGCCGTCAGTCTGTAAAACGTGACCCTCTTAATGGTGCTCTCTGTTCCTTGACTTCTGTCTTTGTACTTCCTGTTCAACAAGGTGGGAAGTAAAGGCATGAGAAAGAGTCTGTTAGGAAAATGAAGGATAATTAGGCTACTGGGGGGGGGACTTTGTCCTCTCTCACACTTTTCTTCTTCCCTCTCTTTCCTCTTATTTGAGGAACGAGAGAAGCGACAGAAGCTTAGAGGAACCGCCGCCTCTGGGTGACAGGTGAGATGTACTACGGTAATTTCCGAAAATGTTCCTCCCGCTGGAAAGAAACGTCGGTCATGCATATTAACCGAACAGGGGATCATTTGGGGTTGGATTAGGTACCTCGCACCCCTCCCCAACCTCCCTGTCTACCTCGTTCTACAATTGAACGTCTCTTCGACATGAACCCCACCCGTAATCTCCAGGTGTGGATCGGCCCAGCTCCCATCTTGCATGTAAGTGGCTGGGATTACCACAGGATTAGAGGGGGTAAAACAGACACGGCTGACAGGGTAAAGAGCGGCTTTTCTGGGTCTAGGCTTTTTATGCTCATGCACATGACAGAACCTGGCACCTTAATCCCGGTGACTCACTATAAAGGTAGAACATAATAAAGATGGGTCCACTGCTGCCTTCAGTTGTCTTTCCAAAAATCTATGGTTCATCTAAAGTCTAGAATCTAAGGTCATGGCTGTTGGTCCTTGAGTTCTATTACGTTAGTATGAGTATCTCTCGTTTAGAACAATAGGTAAGTACTGTGTAGTTACTCTGCCATGGTTATTACCTTGGCCTGAGGTTTCTCTGGTGTTATTCTGGAAAGAATAATACTGATATTGTCTCAACTCCATTTTCAAGGTGTTGTACGTATATCTGGGTCTAGGTCATGTTAGGCTAGCGTTCGCTTGTTGTGGTTGAGGAACTGAGCCGGCCCAAAATGTGAGTGTACTGTATGTGTCTATGACTATGTGGTGCCGTTGCTATTTTCGGAGCCACCGGCCTCATTATTTATCCTGCTAATGATTCGGTATCACTTGGAATGGCACCAGCGAGACCACTACCCTAGAGAGGGGGGAGAGAGGAACTGAAATAGAGAGAGAGAGAGGGGGGGGAGAGAGTGCAAGAGTGGTAGAGAGAGAGAGTGTGAGAAAGAGAGAGAACAGAAATAGACAGAACGGGAGGGAGAGGAGAAGGCGCAAGAGAGGGAGAGTAGTGAGCGAGAAGGGAGGAGACAGGAAGAGAGAGCGAGAGACTTCAGCTGGGCAGCCTAATGGTCCCACCATGCATCAGAGTCAGTGTCATCTCTCACCAGACCCAGGGCTGAAAATGGCCCCTCTGAAATCAAAGCCTGTCTTACGGGAAGTGTCATCAATGCCACTCTTAACACACACACACACACACACACACACACACACACACACACACACGACCCAGCAGCAGAAGCAGCCCCCCTCTCTCTGTCTCTCTCCATAGGGATATGGCCTGTGAGCCTTCAAAGAGGAGGAAACCTAAAACAAGAGGTATTCTACTAAGAGGTGTCAGCAGGCAACCAGATATCAATAACCTCCATGTATGCAGCGCAGAGAGGCCACCCCTGGGACTACTGTGGTTTCCAGGATGGTTGGGAGGGTGTGGGGGGGTTGAGAGGGTGTGGGGGGGTTGAGAGGGTGTGGTGGGTGTGGGGGGGTTGAGAGGGTGTTGGGGGGGTTGGAGGGTGTGGGGGGGTGGTTGAGGGTGTGGGGGGGGTGTGGAGGTGGGGGTTGGGTGTGGGGGTTGGGAGGGGTTGAGAGGTGTGGTGGGATTGAGATGGTGTTGGGGGGGGTGGTTGAGGGTGTGGGGGGTTGAGAGGGTGTGGGGGGGTTGAGAGGTTTGTGGTGGTTTGGAGGGTGTGGGTGGGTTGAGAGGGTGTGGGGTGGGGTTGAGAGTGGTGGGGGGTTTGAGAGGAGGGGGTTGAGAGGTGTGGGGGGTTGAAGGGTGTGGTGGGTGTGGGGGGGTTGAGAGGGTTGGGGGGTTGGGAGGGTGTGGTGGGTGAGAGGCTGTTGGGGGGGGGGGGGGGTGGGGTGAGAGGGTGGGGTGGGGTGGAGGGTGGTGGGGGGGGTTGGGGGTGGTGGGGGGGGGGGGTGGGGGTTGGAGGGTGGTTGTGGGGGTTGGGAGGGGGTTTGGCATGGGTGTGGGGTTGGTGTTTGGGATGGCTGGTGCGGAGGGGGTTTGGAGGGTGTGGGGGGGTTGTGAGGGTGTGGTGGGGTTGAGAGGGTGTGGGGGGGTTGAGAGGGTGTGGTGAGGGTGTTGGGTGTGTGTGCCACATATCACCTTCTCCCTATTTGCACTACAAAGTGAGCATGATGTTTGATATGATACCGGATCGCTTTATGTGGCAATGAAAATTAGACAACAGAAAATACTTGCATTGAGTACATTACTTTGATAAGAGGTCGAAATGATTAATTGAGGTTGACAATATGAATGCGGTTAAAACCGTTTAGCCTCAAAGCAAATGTTTACCATGTCTGATACACTGGTACAGTAGAATAGATGATGGGCTGGCAGTATTATCATTCTCTCTCTCTCTCTCTCTCTCTTGCACACACACGTCCTCTCTACGCTTCTAAACCAAACCCACCTCAACTCCCTTCGTCCCAGGGTGCACTCTGATTCTACTGGATGGCTCTATTACGCCTGCCAATCAGGGTTAGAGAATTAGGGCCCTTCGGCCGGCCGCATGTCAGAATCATCCTCGTCTTCATTAAGATAGAAACAGGATTTAATCACAGTTACCAGTCACTACATTACACTGTAGAAGAATATATACAGTAACTCTCAAAATACTTTGTTAGCCTATCATAAGGGGCTGGTTTCCCGGACATAGATTAAACCTAATCCTGGATTTAAAAGCATTCTCCATTGAGTGATTTAAAAAAAATCCATGAACGTGTTCACCATGTGGTCACTTATTTCACTGCTTCATCTGTACATACACTACCGGTCAAAAGTTTTAGAACACCTACTCATTCAAGGGGTTTTCTTTCATTTTTACTATTTTCTACATTGTAGATGTCACGATCGTCGAACACAGTGGACCAATGCGCAGCGTGGAATGAGAACATACTTTATTCTATTACACCACACGAACAAAACGATACGTGACGTCCTTGGTAACAGACACAAACCATACACGGAACAAGATCCCACAAACACTGTGGCAAAACACGCTGCCTAAGTATGGTTCCCAATCAGAGACAACAAGCAACAGCTGATACTCGTTGCCTCTGATTGAGAACCACCCCGGCCAACACAGAAACACATGAGCTAGATAAAGAACCTAGAACACAAATACATAGAAACGACACACCCTGGCTCAACATAACAGAGTCCCAGAGCCAGGGCGTGACAGTAGAATAATAGTGAAGACATCAAAACTAATGAAATAACACATACGGAATCATGTAGTAACCAAAAAAGTGTTAAACAAATCAAAATATATTTTATATAACTGATCCTGGATCAGCACTCCTACACTGAGACTCTTTGTGGATACGTGTTCTGTGTTTATCTGAGGACTTGGTTTTTACTTTGTTAGATTGTTCCTCTCAGGGTGTCCGATCCTCCCTCGTGTCTCAGGTCGGGTCCAGCTTTCCCACCACCTCTCACTGGATTCACACAGACAGAATAACAACAGAAGTCGTGGTCAAACTTGAGTCAGAGTCGTTGTATTTTTTACATGATGCCACAACAGCAGTAGCAGGTATATTTTCTGACTCTCTCTCTCGTTATCTTTTCAGTCATGTTTTCTGTAAGTATTTTCTCAATCTATGCTGCCGGTGCTGGTATCATAGCATACTGTACGTTCTGACCCGCATTATTTTTTAAATCACCCAAAACTATTTTTGTCTTATATATCTAACCTTATAGCCTGCAGTACTTTCTGACTACCTCTCTCTCGCTCTCTCTCTACTCCCGGTGTGTTTAATGGTGTTCCCAGAAGCTGACCTCTGACCTGGCGGGTGTAGAGCAGCAGAAGAAGGTGTTGGAGATGGAGCTGGAGCAGTGGAGGCAGATCCACAGGACCCCGACCCCCCAGCAGCTCCCCTCTACCGCCCCCCAGCCCCTGGAGACCCCCAGCCCTGCTGTCCTCAAAGCCCTGGAGGCAGAGGTCAAACAGCTCCACACTAAACTGAAGGTTAGTGGTCAGACTATAGAGGAAGCAGGAGTTCACAGCAAAAGATATACAGTGTTTATTTTTATCATTCAACCTTTATTTATACAGTTGAGTCAATTAAGAACTGATTCTTATTTGCAATGGTGGCCTGTCAAGAAGAGAGCACAGGAGTAATATAAAAGTATGTTTACTTATTTATTTGACAGGGACAATGCACACATTGCTGTAAATGTGCCAGATTTAGCCAGCTGGCTAGTTTTCATCTGTAGTCCCTGGGCAGATAGATAAAAACATTTAAGAAAGCATCATAAACATTTCACTGAGAAAAAAAAGATATGTGCACTATACTAAACATGTTTATAGAAGCAAGGACCCTGACGTTAATTATCTGACGATGCTGACAGTTCCAGCAGGGTTGACAATGCTGTCAGAAACAATCCATCAAGCTTCAATTTAACACTCCTTTAATCTGAATTTTAAAACAAACAAAAATCTTAATTTATTTCAGATTTTATTCTAATATTTTCTCATTCTGATAATATTACAAAAATGTCCGTAGAACATATTTTTTTTGCAGACGATTTAGATGTCACATCTTTTCAAAATCGTATTAGATTTACCCATGACAATTACCCAGTGGTTTGCTATTATTTGATATGCCAGGGAACACCTGTCAGTGAGGTGAGAAATGGGAAACAACAGTGTGGTTGTGAGGACGTGTCCTCTGAGTGGCTGAACCCTCCGAGGTGTCAGGACGACACCATTATCAGCCCTTCATTAGCTCACTCATCAGTGTCATCCGCCATATTGCTACTGTCGTTACCAAGGTGATGGTGTAGTGTGAGAGGTGAGGAGGGGGAGCAGAGAGAACAGTGTGTTGGGGGGAGGGTGTGTGGGGGTGTGTGTGTGTGTGTGTGAGAGAGATCCTACGAGTTTCCACTGGAGACCAGAGCTCCTTTAAACCAAAGGGAAGCTGCACACACAAATATCCATCATTCTCATGATCACAAGCACACCTGTAGTCAAGGGCCACAAGGGTTGTGTGTGTGTGTGTGATGTGTGTGTGACGTGCACCAGAGAGACTTTGACACAACGTTGTCCTCTCTCTCTGTGAACCTGCAGTAGAGCTATACTGATACCTAGAATCAGAAACACACACAGAGGTATACACATGCAAAACATACACAACAAATATATAGTTTTTTGCTTTTTTACTCGACAGGGTTCTCCTTACTCCTCAGTCCTCTGCATAAATTATAAGCTCTGATGTCATACCATTTCAGTTCAATTCCATTTGTATTTGAATTTAATTTAATTGAAAGAATTTACAGAAATATATGTACAGTGTGGGGAAAAAAGTATTTGATCCCCTGCTGATTTTGTACGTTTGCTCACTGACAAAGAAATGATCAGTCTATAATTGTAATGGTAGGTTTATTTGAACAGTGAGAGACGGAATAACAACAAAAAAATCTAGAAAAACGCATGTCAAAAATGTTATAAATTGATTTGCATTTTAATGAGAGAAATAAGTATTTGACCCCTCTGCAAAACATGACTTAGTACTTGGTGGCAAAACCCTTGTTGGCAATCACAGAGGTCAGACGTTTCTTGTAGTTGGCCACCAGGTTTGCACACATCTCAGGAGGAATTTTGTCCCACTCCTCTTTGCAGATCTTCTCCAAGTCATTAAGGTTTCGAGGCTGACGTTTGGCAACTCGAAACTTCAGCTCCCTCCACAGATTTTCTATGGGATTAAGGTCTGGAGACTGGCTAGGCCACTCCAGGACCTTAATGTGCTTATTCTTGAGCCAATCCTTTGTTGCCTTGGCCGTGTGTTTTGGGTCATTGTCATGCTGGAATACCCATCCACGACCCATTTTCAATGCCCTGGCTGAGGGAAGGAGGTTCTCACCCAAGATTTGACGGTACATGTCCCCGTCCATCGTCCCTTTGATGCAGTGACGTTGTCCTGTCCCCTTAGCAGAAAAACACCTCCATGTTTGACGGTGGGGATGGTGTTCTTGGGGTCATAGGCAGCATTCCTCCTCCTCCAAACACGGCGAGTTGAGTTGATGCCAAAGAGCTCCATTTTGGTCTCATCTGATCACTTTCACCTAGTTCTCCTCTGAATCATTCAGATGTTCATTGGCAAACTTCAGACGGCCCTGTATATGTGCTTTCTTGAGCAGAGGGACCTTGCGGGCGCTGCAAGATTTCAGTCCTTCACGGCGTAGTGTGTTACCAATTGTTTTCTTGGTGACTATGGTCCCAGCTGCCTTGAGATCATTGACAAGATCCTCCCGTGTAGTTCTGGGCTGATTTCTCACCGTTCTCATGATCGTTGCAACTCCACGAGGTGAGATCTTGCATGGAGCCCCAGGCCGAGGGAGATTGACAGTTCTTTTGTGTTTCTTCCATTTGCGAATAATCGCACCAACTGTTGTCACCTTCTCACCAAGCTGCTTGGCGATGGTCTTGTAGCCCATTCCAGCCTTGTGTAGGTCTATAATCTTGTCCCTGACATCCTTGGAGAGCTCTTTGGTCTTGGCCATGGTGGAGAGTTTGGAATCTGATTGATTGATTGCTTCTGTGGACAGGTGTCTTTTATACAGGTAACAAGCTGAGATTAGGAGCACTCCCTTTAAGAGTGTGCTCCTAATCTCAGCTCGTTACCTGTATAAAAGACACCTGGGAGCCAGAAATCTTTCTGATTGAGAGGGGGTCAAATACTTATTTCCCTCATTAAAATGCAAATCAATTTATAACATTTTTGACATGCGTTTTTCTGGATTTTTTGTTGTTATTCTGTCTCTCACTGTTCTAATAAACCTACCATTAAAATTATAGACTGATCATTTCTTTGTCAGTGGGCAAACGTACAAAATCAGCAGGGGATCAAATACTTTTTTCCCTCACTGTATACACCACGTATTCTCACATGACAAAGACAGACGAGGTTTAAAAATGGATCGGTACACAATCACAATGTCCTCCTACTTCTCCTCAACTGTGTAAATGTATTATAAACCTCTTTCTGTCACTTCCTGACATCCTAGTGTCTGCAGTTCTAATGAGAACACATGCTGCTACATCTGACCTGTCACGGCTAGTGTCACAACACCCCTGTCTCTTTGTCTCTGTGACGCACACTCACACACACTCTGTCTCTCTGTCTCCCCCTCTCAGAGCTCCAGTGCGGAGGTGACGAGGCAGACGTCGGCTAACAAAGCCCTGCGAGCCCAGCTGCTGGAGAGAGAGGAGAAGCTCAGAGAACTGCAGGAGAAGTCAGTACATAGACCAGCATGCTCTCTCTCTCTCTCTCTCTCTCTCTCTCTCTCTCTCTCTCTCTCTCTCTCTCTCTCTCTCGCTCACTCTCACTCTGTCTCTCTCTCTCTCTCTCTCTCTCTGTTTCTCAGTTTCTCTTGCACATTCTTCCTCCTCTCTGTCTCATCTGCAGTGTTTGATTCCACCGTGTGGCAGCTCTCTGACTGCTGCCCTGTTCTCCAGCTCAGCTCTGAATACTCTCTGGGGGGTTTTCTATTTGCGTGTGCATGCTTTCATTTGTGTTTGTCTCTCTGTGTGTGTGTGTGTGTGTGTTTATTCTTTTTCTGTGTGTGTGTTAATGCCATGTATGTTGTGTGTGTCCTGTTGTGCATTGTGTGTTGAGATGAGATGGAGGGTTTTGATCAAAGAGATGGGTATTGATCCAGTGTGTGTGCCGCAGGAAGGATCAACTCTGCTCCTCGTGACACAAAAACCCACACAACACCACAGTGGCCCCCGGGCCTTCTGTTAATGACTTACATAGTTGAGAGAAGTGAAACTGCAAAGCTGTGATCATCATTGAGCATGTAACATGTTAAGAGGTCTCGGCAATTAGCAACTTATCAAACTTTAAATTTATTTTCAAACAAAGGCAGGATGGACTGACATGTTAGTTTCTCTCTCACTCTTTCTCTCTCTCTCTTTCTCTCTCTCTCTCTCACACTCTCTTTCTCTCTCTCTCTTTCTCTCTCATTCTCTTTCTCTCTCATTCTCTTTCTCTCTCACTCTCTTTCTCTCTCTCGGCCCAATATGATACAGTAGTACCCTTTTTTCCTTTCATCTTCAATAATACATCCAACATGTGTGTTCAGTGTGTACAGCGATCACAGTAGCGTTGTGTGTTTGTGACCAAAGCGCGGGCGGATCACAGCAGAGACAGAGCGAAGATCCCTCAGCCGGTTTCCGCGACAACGTCCCTCATATCCATTGGTCCCTTCTTCTTCTACTTCTTCTTCTTCTTCTATTGCCATGGCGCTACCCTAGCACCTCGCCACATCCTCCACGGGGCGTCCTTCTCTCAGAATGAAAGACATGTCTATACCAGACGTCTCTGAAATATACATCTCAGTACACACCAAGGGGCCAGGCAGGCTGCTCCTCTGCAAAAAAAAGAAGTGAATTTCAAAGTAAGAGCGTGTGTCCTCAGTCAATATCCGTCATCCAGGCGCCTGCTTTATTTATGAACCTACTTCTTTCATCTCCAGCGATCCTGTTGTCTGTCTGTCTATCAGAGACACATCTATGTTTCAACTCCCCTTTTGTTTTTTAACAACACTTACTACTGTCTGTAGGACATGTTAAAGTGTGATTATCATGGACGCATGTTTGATGAGCGATAAAGTGGAAAAACTGGAGATGAAAGAAACTAGCAGCAGGGTGATAATGTTAGAGATCAGAATACAGGTTCCAAGTCCAGTCTTTCAACAGACACTTCATAAATACAGATCACTCTCTCTCTCTCTCTCTCTCTCTCTCTCTCTCTCTCTCTCTCTCTCTCTCTCTCTCTCTCTCGCAGAAGAAGAAGAACAACTACTATAGTAGCTATCCCCCATTCTTTTTTATCCTCTATTCATCCTCTGTTCATCTAAAATGCATGTTATAGATCTAATTACCATTATTAGTGTTGGGGATGCACAGAGGGATCTGTGTGATGTGGCTGGGCTTCTCTCTAATGCTGCTGCTCTTCAAGTCAACAGAGACAGACGTCCTAAAGGTTCAATATGGGTTTTTTCATTAATGGTTAAATCCATTGGGGTAACCAGGGACCCTATGCAGCAGGGCCCCCGGCCAGACTCTCCTCTCTTCTCTCTCATTTAATTTAAAGTCACTCCAATAAGACAAGCTCTCATTTATTTGGCCCAGTCTGCCCCCAGGCTAACGGCTCTATCGAGGGAGACAGGGACATTTACTTACACAAAAATATAAAAGGCACTTGCCCCTCGGTTGCGTCATCTGTTTATTTAGAATAAAAGCCTAGTCGGTAATATGTGCAGGCTGAGAGGGAAAAAAAACTATACATATTTTGCAATGTAAACCTGATTAATTAAAAGGAAACGCATCTGATCTTTAATCATATTATTCCATTTGTTCTTCCGATTCCCCCCCGCAGGACCCCAGACGGCCATGAAGTCGGTAATATTTGCCTTTATGTGAAACAACAGAGTAAAACATGTAAACAGAGTAAACTACACACTAAGACATTTAACTGAAAGAGTCTCTTAAGATGTGGCTCTAAAGAGATATGGGAATATTAAGCGTGTCAGGGAGAGGTTTGAAATGTGAAGTGACACGTCGTACATTTTAGACACACACACACACCACACACACACACACACACACACACAGCCGTTTCAACAGGGGCACCCCAGCATCTCTATCTAATTACTATCACACACAGCTATGCCGTTTCAACAGGGGGACCCCAGCGTCTCTCTATCTAGTTACTATCACACACAGCTATGCCGTTTCAACAGGGGGACCCCAGCGTCTCTCTATCTAGTTACTATCAGAATAGTCAACTAGTCAAGTAAACAAACAAGCTCTTTTGGAGTTGATTCCACTCTGGATCGTTATCTACAGAACCACGTCCCCTCCCCAGTCGTCCCCTCCCCAGTCGCCCCCTCTCCAGTCGCCCCCTCCTCCAGTCGCCCCCTCCCCAGTCGTCCCCTTCCCCAGTCGCCCCCTCCCCAGTCGCCCCCTCCCCAGTCGCCCCCTCCCCCAAGTCGTCCCCTCTCCAGTCGTCCCCTCCCCAGTTTCGCCCCCTCCCCAGTCGTTCCCCTTCCCCAGTCTCGCCCCCTCCCAGTCGCCCCCCTCCTCCAGTCTCCCCCTCCCCATTCGTTTCCCCTTCCCCAGTCGCCCCCTCCCCCAGTCGTCCCCTTCCCCAGTCGTCCCCTTCCCCAGTCGTCCCCTTCCCCAGTCGTCCCCTTCCCCAGTTCGTCCCCTTCCCCAGTCGTCCCCTTCCCCAGTCGCCCCCTCCCCAGTCGTCCCCTCCCCAGTCTAATGGGTTTTCATGTGGCGAGGACAGTAGTGTAACATTTCATTAAGAACTGTGATTCTTTTCATGCTATTTGGATGTGTTGAATTGTGTCTATGTTACTGTAGATCAGACTGTTACTGAAGTCTGGATGTTAGTGTCTCAGAAGATCTAAAATGTCATTTGTCAGAAATGTTCCCCATCCGATGTTGCACAACATGCGTAGATATTCCCCACTAGTATAGGAATCAGTAATGTATGCAGTCTAGAAATGGGATATTATACAGAAATTCATATTTTCTGCAGCATCCCCTATCAGCATGTGATTGTCAATGTATTTAGTTGTCATAATGTGATGTGAGCGTGGGGACGTGTGTGTGTTTGTCTGCTTCTGCGTGTGTTTGCGTCTGCGTCTTTGCGTGTGCGTGTGTGTTAATGCCCTGTGTGTGTGTGTGTGTGTGTGTGTGTGTGTGTGTGTGTGTCATTCCCAGGGTGATCCACACAGAGAGAGATGTGCACATGAAGAGGCAGCTGGTGGAGGACGTGAAGACTAGGATGAGGTTCCTCCAGGAGACTGAGAAGACACACAGAGGAATGGTGGAGGAGCTGGAGAAGAAAGTATGTCTCAGTTAACATCTCACATGACATGGTTTAATCACACAACAATGAGTTAGCATAATCAGATGGCATAAAATGGAATGAAAATGCGTTTTACTGGCACGTTTACAGTCCTGCCAGCCTTTATGGTTTTCCTGTAGTCACAATAACATTTCAGATGACACGTTTTCATCACATGACAGAATCTGCTAGCAAATTTAACAATGAATCGGCTATGCAGGTACTTGTATGCCATGAAAACGCCACTAACCGGTATATTCACCCAGCCTTGATTTAATTTAGACTGAATATATCTACAGTACTGTAGCATGGGCAAAAGGAAAACCCATTCAAACATCTTTGATATTTTGAAGATATTCACAAATTCTTCCTCCTCTCTCCCTCTGTGTGTGACACCCAGGTGAAGACCTTGACAGAGGAGGCCACTAACAGGAAGGCCTTTATAGACTCTCTGAAGAGGAGGCTGTCTGTAGCTACTAAAGAGAAGAGTCAGCATGAGACCTCCTGTCAGAAACTCAAGGAGGACCTGGACAAGAAGGTACCAGCCATAGCAGTTTAGGCTCACCTAATAATGTGTGTGATGTTCAGGTAGTCGTCAGCAGTGGTAGTATGACTGTTGCTTACACACAGGCTGGGATCGTTCTATTTTGATAAGGCGGATTTGATCACATTTCCCTTCCCAACGACAAGCTGGGAGAAGTCCAGTAACAGAAGTGAAGATTGCCTCCACAACACCTTTTTATAGCGTCATTTCCAAACCTATGTATTATGGTGGATAGGAGCAGCGTGACTGGAAACCCATGTATTATGACATCATCTCCCTGTGTTGTGGTGTATAGGAGCAGCGTGACTGGAAACCCATGTATTATGACATCATCTCCCTGTGTTGTGGTGTATAGGAGCAGCATGACTGGAAACCCATGTATTATGACATCATCTCCCTGTGTTGTGGTGTATAGGAGCAGCGTGACTGGAAACCCATGTATTATGACATCATCTCCCTGTGTTGTGGTGTATAGGAGCAGCGTGACTGGAAACCCATGTATTATGACATCATCTCCCTGTGTTGTGGTGTATAGGAGCAGCGTGACTGGAAACCCATGTATTATGACATCATCTCCCTGTGTTGTGGTGTATAGGAGCAGCATGACTGGAAACCCATGTATTATGACATCATCTCCCTGTGTTGTGGTGTATAGGAGCAGCGAGACTGGAAACCCATGTATTATGACATAATCTCCCTGTGTTGTGGTGTATAGGAGCAGCGTGAATGTAAATCATTCTCTCTCCTTCTCTCCCTCCCTGTAGGAGCAGCGTGTGGAGGCCTTGCAGGCCCGTGTGAGGGCCAGTGAGCGGGCCCAGGCCGAGCTGGAGCAGACGGCCTCCCGTCAGATGGAGGGTCTGGCCCAGCAGAGCACCGTGGCCCTGGAGGCCCTGCAGAGACGACTGGGCCTGGCCCACACACAGCTGGAGCAGCTACAAGCCTTCACTAAGGTACTGGACTGGGGACTGGGCATGGGTTAGAGGGCAGAGGTCAAATGTACTTGGGGCAGACACAGCACAGGGGTCAGTGGTCACTGGCAAAATACATGGATGTACCAGGGTCGTGTTCAGTCGGGTACACCGTAGATTTAAAAAAATTATGAAATGAAAATAACCAGCCCTCTCCCCGTTTCAGTCAGTTTTTCTTCCGTTTGGTGCTTAATGAACATGACCCAGTTTGACAATCCCGGTCTGAGATGAGCCTAGTGCATCGTAATATAACCTTATTAGGGCTGTGATATGTCAGTCAGATGAGGGACTGCTAATTAGCCTAGCTGCCATGGCATGTTCACTTCACACAAAGACCTAATAACCATTGTAATATGATGTCTCTTCTTCTAAAGACATTAACATAATTGCCTCTGAATCACTCTTTAATCCTAACATCAAATTGAGTCATGACATTGGGTGACGCGAGGGCTGAGTGCTTAGTCTGTGCCAGTGGAGGGCATAATGGGGGGTTAAGGCCCTGCCAGTGTGTGTCTGCCCAGTGGGAATGGAGTTCTAATCCAACTGCCATTCTAGTGTTGTGTTTCTGGCAGGGCCTGATAAAGAACCTGTCAATCACACCGTCGCCGTGACACTTGCCCATCAACTCTGACTGCAGTGTTGAGGGGGAGGGGCTTAAGAGAGACCACGATGGCATCCCCTCCCTCAGAACTAGTCCAGGAGACGACATGGATACCATTGTGGTCATAACCAGCTCTTTGTTCTCCCACAAGTAATTTATGTTTCACTGGTCAAAATAAACTGACCAAACTGTTATCGGGAAGATTTTTATAATAGGTCGCCCACCTTTCCCTCCCTCCCTCCCTCCCTCCCTCCCTCCCTCCCTCCCTCCCTCCCTCCCTCCCTCCCTCCTCTCCTTCCTTCCTTCCCTCTTCTCCTCCCTCCCTCCCTCCCTCCCCTCCTTCCTTCCTTCCCTCTTCTCCACCCCCCCTCCCTCTTTTCTCCCCTAACAACATACTGTATCCTATCTTTAATACTGAACCCTTTCCGTCCTCGTTCCCATAACACTAGGGCTGAGTTGTCTGAGTGTCTGGGCCATTGTTGTTGAGCATTCACATCATTCTAGGTTTCCCCAATCCTTTTTATGATCCCTGATAAGAACAGGAGGCCCTTTGATTGGCTGACCTGCCGTCCAGAGGAGATTTACTGCTGTCATGTATTGATCAGTGTCCAGGGCTTCTGGGGTCTTCTTCTGTTGTGTACTCTGGTTGGTTGGACCCCGGGCCCCTCTACACCTCTCTACCAGCCTCAGGCCATGTTCCACTCCTGTTGATGTGCTAAACACTAAACAGTGGCCCTGGAATGGCTGCCTACACTCACCGGCTTAGCCTCAGACACAAAGGTGGAGACCAGATTTGGGTTCAAATACTACACTGCTCAGAAAAATAAAGGGAACACTAAAATAACACATCCTAGATCTGAATGAATGAAATAATCTTATTAAATACTTTTTTCTTTACATAGTTGAATGTGCTGACAACAAAATCACACAAAAATTATCAATGGAAATCAAATTTATCAACCCATGGAGGTCTGGATTTGGAGTCACCCTCAAAATTAAAGTGGAAAACCACACTACAGGCTGATCCAACTTTGATGTAATGTCCTTAAAACAAGTCAAAATGAGGCTCAGTAGTGTGTGTGTGTGGCCTCCACGTGCCTGTATGACCTCCCTACAACGCCTGGGCATGCTCCTGATGAGGTGGCGGATGGTCTCCTGAGGGATCTCCTCCCAGACCTGGACTAAAGCATCCGCCAACTCCTGGACAGTCTGTGGTGCAACGTGGCGTTGGTGGATGGAGCGAGACATGATGTCCCAGATGTGCTAATTTGGATTCAGGTCTGGGGAACAGGCGGGCCAGTCCATAGCATCAATGCCTTCCTCTTGCAGGAACTGCTGACACACTCCAGCCACATGAGGTCTAGCATTGTCTTGCATTAGGAGGAACCCAGGGCCAACCACACCAGCATATGGTCTCACAAGGGGTCTGAGGATCTCATCTCGGTACCTAATGGCAGTCAGGCTACCTCTGGCGAGCACATGGAGGGCTGTGCGGCCCCCCAAAGAAATGCCACCCCACACCATGACTGACCCACCGCCAAACCGGTCATGCTGGAGGATGTTGCAGGCAGCAGAACGTTCTCCACGGCGTCTCCAGACTCTGTCACGTCTGTCACATGTGCTCAGTGTGAACCTGCTTTCATCTGTGAAGAGCACAGGGCGCCAGTGGCGAATTTGCCAATCCTGGTGTTCTCTGGCAAATGCCAAACGTCCTGCACGGTGTTGGGCTGTAAGCACAACCCCCATCTGTGGACGTCGGGCCCTCATACCACCCTCATGGAGTCTGTTTCTGACCGTTTGAGCAGACACATGCACATTTGTGGCCTGCTGGAAGTCATTTTGCAGGGCTCTGGCAGTGCTCCTCCTGCTCCTCCTTGCACAAAGGCGGAGGTAGCAGTCCTGCTGCTGGGTTGTTGCCCTCCTACGGCCTCCTCCACGTCTCCTGATGTACTGGCCTGTCTCCTGGTAGCGCCTCCATGTTCTGGACACTACGCTGACAGACACAGCAAACCTTCTTGCCACAGCTCGCATTGATGTGCCATCCTGGATGAGCTGCACTACCTGAGCCACTTGTGTGGGTTGTAGACTCCGTCTCATGCTACCACTAGAGTGAAAGCACCGCCAGCATTCAAAAGTGACCAAAACATCAGCCAGGAAGCATAGGATCTGAGAAGTGGTCTGTGGTCACCACCTGCAAAACCAGTCCTTTATTGGGGGTGCCATGCTAATTGCCTATAATTTCCACCTGTTGTCTATTCCATTTGCACAACAGCATGTGAAATTTATTGTCAATCAGTGTTGCTTCCTAAGTGGACAGTTTGATTTCACAGAAGTGTGATTGACTTGGAGTTACATTGTGTTGTTTAAGTGTTCCCTTTATTTTTTTGAGCAGTGTATTTCAGTTATTTCAAGTACTTTCACATACATTTCGAAGTAAGTATTCTGATATGTTTGATTGAAAAAATAGTTGAATATTGGAATGTATTTGGAAATACACTTGGAAAGTATTGGCACTGGACACAGTTAAATAGAGCAGTAAAACCTATATCAGTATATCTCTATGAAGGTGCCATGTTCACAATAAAGATGTGTCTGAATTCACTCAACTGCATATTGTGGTCTATTGTCCTTTACAATCCCTGTCTGTGTGTTTTCAAATGGCCATTTTCTCAGTCAGTCCTTCCAGACAGTTCTTGTGAGTGTGATCTAAACGGATGGGGGTAGTTATTAGGGAAGGACAGTGTTTCCCTGCTCAGTTGATCTCCATCTCCATGTCGTAAGCCTCTGCTGTCTAAATTGGCCCTCTGGCTACTGTGATTGTGATACTAGGTTTGTCTGGGTAAGAGCCGTGTGCGCCTGACTCGACCTGCACACACACACACGCACGCACACACACACGCACGCACACACACGCACACACACACACACACACAAAATAGTGTGAGATACAATTGGTCTCACCTTCATATACACACACACACTACTTCTCTCTCTCCCGCTCTCTCTCTCTCTCTCTCTCTCTCTCTCTCTCTCTCTCTCTCTCTCTCTCTCTGTCTCTGTCTCTGTCTCTCTCTGTCTCTCTCTCTCTCTCTTTCTCTCTCTCTTTCTCTCTCTGTCTCTCTCTCTCTCTCTTTCTCTCTGTCTCTCTGTCTCTCTCTCTCTCTTTGTCTCGCTCTCTCTCTCTCTCTCTCTCTCTCTCTCTCTCTCTCTCTCTCTCTCTCTCTCTCTCTCTCTCTCTCTCTCTCAGGGCTGAGAATGAGTGATAAATTAATCTCTTTCCAGATTATTCCACACATTCAGGGTTTGGGTCAATTGAATGTAACCCTTGACTAGCGACAGTAAATATCTATTAGGGCTGTAAATAAAATAATAGGATCTCTGGCAGTTTCTTAATGAGCTGTGTATTCCTCCAGGACACAGAAGAGGTCTTGGCACACTTATGGAGACTAAACCTTTGTTTGGTTTATCAGGAAAATGAATATTGCTGTGATTGATTTCTGCGCTACTTTATTTCATTTATTATACGTTTAGTTAATTTTGTTATATTTCTATATATCTATTGTGCTCTACTGTATCTAAACCCACACCTAATACATCTAATATATGATATATGTTATATTATAAACTGGGTGTTTCGATGCATGAATGCTGATTGGCTGAAAGCTGTGGTATGTGAGACCGTATACCACGGGTATGACAAAACATGTATTTTTACTGTTCTAATTACGTTGATAACCAGTTTATAATAGCAATAAGGCACCTCCCGGGTTTGTGGTATATGGCCAATATACCACGGCTAAGGGCTATATCCAGGCACTCCGCGTTGCTTCGTGCATAAGAACAGCCCTTAGCCGTGGTAGATTGGCCATATACCACACCCCATCGTGGCCATATACCACACCCCCTCGTGCCTTATTGCCTAATAATATATTGATTTGGGGGTAGAATAGACACCTCAGCTTAAGTATAAAGACTTTATAGAATGTACAGAGAAACCCTTCAGAATATCCTAAGGTGTGTTTAGTCATATTGTTTTACATTGACGCGCCGTGTCCCATTTGGTTTTCACACACAGCTCATTTGTCTAAGCTTCATGCGTTTTTATATTTGATTTCATTTACTAATAGTCCATCTAATAGCATCCCTCGGATCCCTCCACGATCTGTCTGTCAACAATAACTCTCCCCACCAGCTCTCCCTTATGAAATCTAGCAGAGCCTCAGCAAAGTGCTTCTGATCCGCCCGTGTGAAATAAACTAAAGCAATGGAGATGTCTGTTTATGATTAGCCTGGGTTATGTACATGGAATGAGAGGTGTGTGTACATATCTGTTTCTGTATGTATGCAGTTGCCCTTGTGTGTTTGGGATTGTTTTGTGTGTGTGTGTGTGTGTGTGTGTGCTTGAAAAGCTACCTAGCCCATCTCTCGGCTGACCTTCCATTCCAAGGTCAGCTTTTCAGGCGGGCTTACAGGGGAATGATACAGAAGATTATTGCATCGATCAATAAGCTCAAAATGAAGCAAAGGGGAGTTTTGGGTTATTGACTTTCTCATGTACAGTGGTAGCTTTACATTTAATTGTCTCACTCTCTTTTTATTTAGAGCCAACTGCCATTTAGTGCATTCAGGCCTCTGAGGTGCCTGAAGACCAATGAGGTTTCACACACACACACACACTCTCGGGCACCATTTGAAATGCACCTCATCGCTCAGTTATTTACACTGTTATGCCGTTGTATTGGCTTGTTTTATTGTGAGCCCATTCAAAGCAAATAACTATGTTAGCATTTTTCATACAACTCTTTCCCATGTGTGATTCGGTCCGCGTCAATTCTGAGGAGATTTGTCGGAGAAGAAACCTATTATTGATATCCAAGATGCGTAGATACCCTCGGTGTCTGTCATCACCGCACCGTTCAATCGGTCGGGTAACTCAGAAACCCTCTCAGGTACTAAAATCCTATAAGGAGAGTGAACGAACCAGAGAATTTCAGTGTCAAACTCAATATTCCTCCATAATGTACGTTGCTGCTGACGCCCTCGGCTCTTGTCTTGATAGGTTTCATTTATTCATCTACAGATGTATGATCTTTTTGATCATTTGATCACCCTGTTGCAGGAGAACTTTCCAACAATGCAGGAAATGTTGAACTTGTAGTGTATTTACGGTTTAAAAAGGCTTCTTTAGTCTGTAATTTCCACTTTTCCCTTACAATTTTTTGTTATAAACCCCTACAAAAATGTCAATTAATTATAATACACATAATAATTCACATTTCCTGTTGCTGCAGGAATATTTCCCTGCTGTAGAAAACTGGCTCAAATTTCCATCTCTCGCTTTCTCTAGTTTCATCACCCTTTCTTTATTTTCATCCTCTCAGGCTCTGGCAAGCGAAACTCTCCGCGAGGTGCAGGACGCCAAATCGCAGCTGAAGAGGAAGAGGACGGAGAAGAAGAAGGCAGTAGGGGCCGGAGGGCTGTCCAAGCAGTCCATGGTCAAGGCACAGTCCATCGCTGCGTCCATCCTCAACATGACCGAGACGGACCTGGCTGACATGCTGGACACCGACGAGGTACGGGTTTACGACCCCTAACAAAATCACTGATCGCGGAGCAGTTTTTATCCGTCTGAATTAGTCTCTGCAGGTAGATGATGCACCTTTAACCACATATCTAAGATCAGATGATGCCCAAATCCCCAATCCAACATGGCTGAATCACTGATCTCAGTGCAGTTTTTGTCCGTCTGAATGAGTCACTGCAGATCTAGGATCAGATTACGCCTATCCCCGATCCTTACCTTGACCACTAGCAGGATGGACATAATATCTGACCCTGTATCATTTGTTAGTAGACATCTTCTACCACCTTCACAATGACCCTGTGGGAACAGATACATGTATAGTTTACCATCACTGACAGGAAAACATGGAAAGACAGTTGACTTGTATTGAAGTCCCAGTTCAGTCAGCTGACTCTAACCGGCACTTGGCCTCTGTGGTGATTCAGTCTCAAGTCAGAGTGCTGTGGTAAATGTAGCTATATAACCTTTCTAGTCGTTGACTGGATAAGCATGGGTGAGTAGGCATACATGAACACTTAGGGAGGTGATATGTGCCTATTTTAAAGAACACAACTAGCCTGGTGGTCTAGTCTGTTTGGGATTTTTTGTAGCAGCAGTGGCAGAGTTAGCATATGGGGGTGCTTGGTCTTTCTGGGGTCTTCCTGGGGCATACATCTATACATCTACAGTGAGGGAAAAATTTATTTGATCCCCTGCTGATTTTGTACGTTTGCCCACTGACAAAGAAATTATCACTCTATAATTTTAATGGTAGGTTTATTTGAACAGTTAGAGACATAATAACAACAAAAAAATCCAGAAAAACGCATGTCAAAAATGTTATAAATTGATTAGTTTTTTAATGAGGGAAATAAGTATTTGACCCCTCTGCAAAACATGACTTAGTACTTGGTGGCAAAACCGTTTCTTGTAGTTGGCCACCAGGTTTGCACACATCTCAGGAGGGATTTTGTCCCACTCCTCTTTGCAGATCTTCTCCAAGTCATTAAGGTTTCGAGGCTGACGTTTAGCAACTCGAACCTTCAGCTCCCTTCACAGATTTTCTATGGGATTAAGGTCTGGAGACTAGCTAGGCCACTCCAGGACCGTAATGTGCTTCTTCTTGAGCCACTCCTTTGTTGCCTTGGCCGTGTGTTTTGGGTCATTGTCATGCTGGAATACCCATCCACGACCCATTTTCAATGCCCTGGCTGAGGGAAGGAGGTTCTCACCCAAGATTTGACGGTACATGGCCCCGTCCATCGTCCCTTTGATGCGGTGAAGTTGTCCTGTCCCCTTAGCAGAAAAACACCCCCAAAGCATAATGTTTCCACCTCCATGTTTGACGGTGGAGATGGTGTACTTGGGGTCATAGGCAGCATTCCTCCTCCTCCAAACACGGCGAGTTGAGTTGATGCCAAAGAGCTCGGTTTTGGTCTCATCTGACCACAACACTTTCAGCCAGTTCTCCTCTGAATCATTCAGATGTCCATTGGCCAAACTTCAGACGGGCCTGCATATGTGCTTTCTTGAGCAGGGGACCTTGGCGGGTGCTTGCAAGGATTTCACAGTCCTTCACGTGCGTAGTGTGTTACCAATTGTTTTCTTGTGACTATGGTTCCCAGCTGCCTGAGATCATTAACAAGATCCCTCCTGTGTAGTTCTGGGCTGAGTCCTCACCATTCTCATGATCATTGCAACTCCACGAGGTGAGATCTTGCTGGGAGCCCCAGGGCCGAGGAGATTGACAGTTTCTTTGTGTTTCTTCCCTTGCGAATAACATCGCACAAACTGTTGTCACCTTCTCACCAAGCAGCTTGGCGATGGTGTTGTAGCCATCCAGCCTTGTGTAGGTCTCAAGCTTGTCCCTTACATCCTTGGAGAGCTCTTTGGTCTTGGCCATGGTGGAGAGTTTGGAATCTGATTGATTGATTACTTCTGTGGACAGGTTTCTTTTATACAGGTAACAAGCTGAGATTAGGAGCACTCCCTTTAAGAGTGTGCTCCTAATCTCAGCTCGTTACCTGTATAAAAGACACCTGGGAGCCAGAAATCTTTCTGATTGAGAGGGGGTCAAATATTTATTTCCCTCATTAAAATGCAAATCAATTTATAACATTTTTGACATGCGTTTTTCTGGATTTTTTTGTTGTTATTCTGTCTCTCACTGTTCAAATAAACCTACATTAAAATTATAGACTGATCATTTCTTTGTCAGTGGGCAAACGTACAAAATCAGCAGGGGATCAAATACTTTTTTCCCTCACTGTACATTATAAAAATGATATATACAGTATATTACAATTGTTTTGCAGTGGCGTCCACGATCCCCTAAATGCATATAGGGGAAACACTAGCTTTATGTATGGCATGACAATTATAGAAAACATGGCTACATACAGTATGGAACCAAGCTAGGATACAACTACCTCTCATTCAAGAGAAGAAAAAAAACTCACACTCTCATTCACTATAAAAGTTATTTGGCTCATGGCTTTTCTTGTTCAAGAAGAACCCTTTCTTTCACGACAACAAGCTCTATCTACAGTATGTCCCCACTTCCTCCACATAGATCACTCCTTCTCTCTCTCCTCCTCCCTTGTCGTCAATTAACCGACACTGCGTTACAATCAACTTCCTGTCTTCATCACAGGATGAGAGAGTGTATGCCAGCCAGGAATCAGCCACCACCTACCCTGGAATGACAGGGCCGAGATACATTTGAAGAAATGCTCCAACTTATCAGAGCTTAATGAGCGTGAAGTGTGTGTGAGGTGAGCGTCGCTCCGGGTGTGTTTTAATGGCGGCTAATGGCATTCCGCCTGGTCAGCTGTGTTTGTGTCTGTTGGTGTTAATTGCTTGTCCGTGGATCACGGCGCTGTCGGGTGCTCAGGGACCCACCGGAGAACGGGTAAGTGGTCTGTCACAGGAAGGGTGTGTGCGTGCGTATGTGCGGTTGTGTGTGGGTGTCGGGAGCGGAGAGGAGCCAGTCACGGTGTGTTGCTAATTGAAAATCCCCCAGGAACCACGGAAGGACTAGGGTGGAACAGTAATTGTGTGTCTGTGTAGATCTACATCTCAGCCTGCTGAGAAACTAACTGGAAGTTACCAGGAAACCAGACGTGTTTTAATCCGTCCAGGCTGTAATTCACCTACTGCATACTTAGTAACAGATTCAGTTTTCCATCAGGTATTTTACTGTGTCAAATTTGATGTTGAGATCTTTCTTTCTGCGGCTGAAAGACTCAGACAGAGCTGAAAGGGGCAGCAGTGTGGTTCTCTCAGTTTGAGAGGAGGAATTGTTATCCTGCTATGCCTTTTATTAATCTTTCACTGTTACTGAGGGTGGTTGTGGGAAAAGGCCCTTTTGTTGCCACGGCCCTCCACCACACAAACACACACACACGCGCACACTCGCACACTCTCAGCCTCAGCATACTCTCTCCCTCTCCCTGCCACTCCATCCAGCTGTAGGCAGGCAGTAAGAGAGTGGCGGTAGCGGTCAGCTCCTTCTCCTTGGGCAGCAGCAGCTTGTTGTGGAGTTAATGATGCGTCTGTAATAAGGACATAATTGCCAGGCCAGTTTGTTTTCCAACAGGGCCCCTAATGAGAGACAGAGGGTCAGTGTATTGTTATGCATCCTCTGAGGGGCCACACACACACACCCACCCACCCTTCTCACCTCCGTGGGAGGCAGAGGAGGCAGGAATGATGAGGAGCCCACCATCAAGGCAGCCCACACCTCACCTCTCTCTCATTCTATCGCTCTCTTTCTCATTCTATCTCTCTCTCTCTCCCTCCTCTCTCTTTCTCTACCTTTCTCTGCATCTACCTATTCCCTCCCTCCCCTCCCTCCCTCTCCAGTCACACTAATGAGGGCCTCTGAAGACATGGAAATTAGCCGTGCGCTGACGCTACCACCAGGCCCCACCATCCTCATCCATCGAGGGGATAGGAGAGCAAGGGAGGCCCTTCTAGGGGGAGACAAGCCCTACACACCTTATCCTCCATCCCCCGACCCCTCCCCCCTCTACCTCTTTGAGAGGCAACACCTGCGGTTAAAAGCCGTGCAGAGTTCTGTTAAATGGGACAAGTGGCTTGCGAAATTATTCACCCCCCTTGGCATTTTTCCTATTTTGTTGCCTTACAACCTGGAATTAAAATCGATTTTTTGGGGGTTTGTATCATTTGATTTACACAACATGCCTACCACTTTGAAGATGCAAAATATTTTTTATTGTGAAACAAACAAGAAATAATAAAAAAAAACAGAACTTGAGCGTGCATAACTATTCACCCCCCCAAAGTCAAAACTTTGTAGAGCCACCTTTTGCAGCAATTATAACTGCAAGTCTCTTGGGGTATGTCTCTATAAGCTTGGCACATCTAGCCACTGGGATTTTTTGCCCATTCTTCAAGGCAAAACTGCTCCAGCTCCTTCAAGTTGGATGGGTTCCGCTGATGTACAGCAATCTTTAAGTCATACCACAGATTCTCAATTGGATTGAGGTCTGGGTTTTGACTAGGCCATTCCAAGACGTTTAAATGTTTCCCCTTAAACCACTCGAGTGTTGCGTTAGCAGTATGCTTAGGGTCATTGTCCTGCTGGAAGGTGAACCTCCGTCCCAGTCTCAAATCTCTGGAAGACTGAAACAGGTTTCCCTCAAGAATTTCCCTGTATTTAGCGCCTTCCATCATTCCTTCAATTCTGACCAGTTTCCCATTTCCTGCCGATGAAAAACATCCCCACAGCATGATGCTGCCACCACCATGCTTCACTGTGGGGATGGTGATCTTGGGGTGATAAGAGGTGTTGGGTTTGTGCCAGACTCAATATTAGTCTCATCTGACCAGAGTACCTTCTTCCATATGTTTGGGGAGTCTCCCACATGCTTTTTGGCGAACACCAAATGTGTTTGCTTATTTTTTTCTTTAAGCAATGGCTTTTTTCTGGCAACTCTTCCGTAAAGCCCAGCTCAGTGGAGTGTATGGCTTAAAGTTGTCCTATGGACAGATACTCCAATCTCCGCTGTGGAGCTTTGCAGCTCCTTCAGGGTTATCTTTTGCCTCTTTGGTATCTTTGTTGCCTCTCTGATTAATGCCCTCCCTGCCTGGTCCGTGAGTTTTGGTGGGCGGCCCTCTCTTGGCAGGTTTGTTGTGGTGCCATATTCTTTCCATTTTTTAATAATGGATTTAATGGTGCTCCGTGGGATGTTCAAAGTTTGTGACTTCTGAAGGTAATTTGGCAGGGTGCTTTTCTTAACTCACCGTGGTATAGCGAGTCCTTTTGGCGGGCCGGCGCCTGCAAGCTGACTTTGGTTGTCAGTTGAATGGTGGTGCGGCTGACTTCCGGCTTAAGCAAGCAGGGTTTTAACAAGTTGGCGGCTAGGCGGGTCATGACCTTCGCCTCTCCCGAGCCCATTGAGGAGTTGCAGCGATGAGACAAGGTCGTAACTAGCAATTGGGAGAAAATGGGGTAAAAACTACAATAACAAAAAAATAACAAAACTAAATAAGGAGACTGACAAATACCAAGGCCATTGTACCTTTCTTTTATTTTAGAGAGATCTCTTATTTTTCATGAAAGCTTCATTTTCTGACCTCACCTCAGCCTCAGCCTTTATTTTTGTATCTGCATTGAAATTCAAGCATTGGAATTTGGAAGTGAAGTTGCCTAAATTTAGCTAGTGATTTTCTGGTTGTACAGAGAAGAGGGATCCTGTGAGGCTCAGTTGGTGGAGCATGGCCAAAGGGTCGTGGGTTAATTCCCGCTCGGGCCACCCATACTTAAAGTGTATGCATGCTTTGGATCAACGCTTCTGCTAAATGGCATTCGGAAAGTATTTAGACCCCTTAACTTTTTTGACATTTTATTACGTTACAGCCTTATTCTAAAATCGATTACATCGTTTTCCCCCTCATCAATCTACACACAATACCCCATTATGACAAAATAATTTGCTAATATATTAAAAATAAAAACTGAAATATCATATTTACATAAGTATTCAGACCCTTTACACAGTACTTTGTTGAAGCACCTTTGGCAGTGATTACAGCCTCAAGTCTTCTTGGGTATGACGCTACAAGCTTGGTACACCTGTATTTGGGGAGTTTTTCCCATTCTTCTCTGCAGATCCTCTCAAGCTCTGTCAGGTTGGATGGGGAGCGTCGCTGCACAGCTATTTTCAGGTCTCTCCAGAGATGTTTGATCGGGTTCAAGTCTGGGCTCTGGCTGGGCCACTCAAGGACATTCAGAGACTTGTCCCGAAGCCACTCATGCATTGTCTTAGCTGTGTGCTTAGGGTCTTTGTCCTGTTGGGAGGTGAACCTTGGCCCCAGTCTGAGGTCCTGAGTGCTCTGGAGCAGGTTTTCTTCAAGGATCTCTCTGTACTTTGCTCCGTTCATCTTTCCCTCGATCCTGACTAGTCTCCCAGTCCCTGCCGCTGATAAACATCCCCACAGCATGATGCTGCCACCACCATGCTTCACCGTAGGGATGGTGGCAGGTTTCCTGCAGACGTGACACTTGGCATTCAGGCCAAAGAGTTCAATCTTGGTTTCATCAGACTAGAGTATCTTGTTTCTCATAGTCTGAGAGTCCTTTAGGTGCCTTTTAGCAAACTCCAAGCGGGCTGTCATGTGCCTTTTACTGAGGAGTGGCTTCCGTCTGGCCACTACCATAAAGGCCTGATTGGTGGAGTGCTGCAGAGATGGCTGTCCTTCTGGAAGGTTCTCACATCTCCACAGAGGAACTCTGGAGTTCTGTCAGAGTGACAATCGGATTCTTCTCCCCCGATTGGTCAGTTTGGCCAGGCGGCCAGCTCTAGGAAGAGTCTTGGTGGTTCCAATCTTCTTCCATTTAGGAATTACATTACATTTTAGTCATTTAGCAGACACTCTTATCCAGAGCGACTTACAGTTAGTGAGTGCATACATTTTCTTACTGGCCCTCAATGGGAAACGAACCCACAACCCTGGCGTTGCAAGCGCCATGCTCTACCAACTGAGCTACAGGGGTGTAAAATGTAAATGTAATTTAAGAATGATGGAGGCCACTGTGTTCTTGGGGACCTTCAACGCTGCAGACATTTTTTGGTACCCTTCCCCAGATCTGTGCCTCGACACAATCCTGTCTCAGAGCTCTACGAACAATTCCTTCGATCTCATGGCTTGGTTTTTGCTCTGATATGCACTGCCAACTGTGGGATCTTATATAGACAGGTGTGTGCCTTTCCAAATCATGTCCAATTTACCACAGTTGGACTCTAATCAAGTTGTAGAAACATCTCAAGGATAAACAATGGAAACAGGATGCACCTGAGCTCAATTTTGAGTCTCATAGTAAAGGGTCTGAATACTTATGTAAATTAGGTATTTATTTATTTATTTTTTGCAGACATTTCTAAAACCTGTTTTTGCTTTGTCATTATGTGGTATTGTGTGTAGATTGATGAGGAAAAAAGTTAATTTAATCAATTTTAGAATAAGGCTGTAACGTAACAAAATGTCAAAAAAGTGAAGGGGTCTGAATACTTTCCGAATGCACTGTATTATTATTATTATTATTATTATTATTATTATTATTATTATTATTATTATTATTATATATAAGATTACTGTTTGTTCATCTTTGGTGGTTGTTTTGTGTCTCTCTGCAGGAGGGGGATGATGTGGCAGCAGACAGTAGGCGAGACCAGGACTGGTTGGACCAGGTCATGA